GCTGAAGAATCTATTTAGTTTATGACTTCATCTGTTTCTGTCTTCTTGAACCCCGGTCAGCCCTGGCAGATGGCTGCTCACACTGAGCCTGTTTCTGCTTAAAGTTTCTACCAGTTAAAAGGGAGTTTTCCTTTCCACTGCCGCTACATTGACATCAGCCAATGTGAAACATTGTAGCAGTTGTTGAAAAGGGCATGTTAAAGTGCCCCCTTGGTAACCAAAATAAGCTCTGGAGTGCCCTCTTGGGAGTCCAAACGCATGTTAAAGTGCCCTCTAAGGGGGTGAATACGCGCTATATGCGCGCTTTTTTTCTTTCTGCCTTTCAAAAAGTCTGTGCACACCATTGTTGACTCATCTGTTGTTAACTTGTGTGACATGCATTTGTTGCAACGTATACTCTGAAAATGTAGGGCTACTTTCTAAGAATGGAAAATTGGAAAAACAACCAATCTACTTGGTTAAACCGATTTGGGTTAGATTAACCAATATGTTGGTCAGAGACTGATGGAGCCATTGGTTTTAGATCAGTCAATTTAATTTAAAGCCAAAAAACAAATAAAAAAGGTAACTGATGGTTTTACTACTCTTACTATTTGGCTATAGTCACGTTTAATAATAATTATGGACTAAGAGAACAATTACAGTGATGTGTACATGTACACCATGCAAGTCTTGGTTTTAACCTTGGTTGTAACATACTATTAAGTAGTATTAAATTCCAATAAATGTAAGTAGTGACAGTTGCATTGGATGCAGGGGTTTGCTTTGGTTTCAAGACCTAATTGAGCTTTCAATATATTTACACAAATTAACCATTATGTTGGTCAAAGTGACCAATTCGTATAGGTTTGCCCATGTACCAATATAGATTTATACCAAATTAGATGTCTATTTTAACCTAAAGATGGGTTGGACACATAACTAGCAACCAGATTGGTAAAACTGAACCAATCTTTGGTTAAAACCTAAAGAAACCTTCATATTGCCGTCTCAGTATACTTTTGACTGTGAAGGCATAGGAGGTGTTCTAGAATGACAGTGAACAAGCATCATGGATACCTAGGAACACAGCAGATGGGTTAGGAGTTTAAAGAAGGGTTAGGTTTTATAACAGCATCCCATAAGAGCAATGTTCAATCGATCCCTTAAAAAGCAATGCACAACCGTCCCCTACTCTGAACATCTAATACATAAAAGCCCAATGAAACAAGTCAAGTTTGAAAAGGTTGAAGGGATACTAATACTTTTATTAGGTGTCATAAAACAATAAACCCAACTACAACCTGCATACCTTTAAGCAGTTAACCAAAGGGATGGGTCAATGTCTTTTTTTTATTAGATTCGCAGAATGTGCTTTTTTTTGTTAGTTATCCAGGCTTTGCCTTATGAATAAAGTCAGGATGATCCTCCAACCAATTCCCACATTTAGCATGAACATATTTAGAGGCCACCTATTTTTTAAATTGCGATTATTGTTGACATAGTTAGTTTAAAGTTTCTGTCCATTAGGACTTTTAAAAGTGCAGGTGCATTTTTCTAGAATGTGAAAATTCATGCTCCATTCTTTTGTACAAAAGCTTTTGATTGGTTATGATCAGATAAACAGATTCGTTAATCAGTTTGCATCATCACCAATGATGCTGACATTATGTGATCAAAGCTGAGCCTCCTGCCTCATGATCTAAAAAAGGTGCAGTGCAATCCACTTTTTTATATGTCTTTGGCTCAAAGTGACCCAGCGAACCTGAACATAACAAAGGGAACTGCAGTGTGTGAAAAAAAGAAAAAAAATTCTTGTCTGCATCAAAGTTAGGATTTTAAGACCCCATGTGACTTCATCTGTCAGGGCCATAGCAGACTAGACCAAACCTGTTTTATGAACTCAGGGAGGAGTAGGTTGGATAAAGAATCAGTTGTTCAAGTCAAAGCTCCTAAAAAAAAGAAACTTGAAAATGCTTTTTAATTTTGTGAAAGTCTAGAAAATTGGCTTCAAATGTAATGGGAATCCGCTGCAGGATTTTTAAGACAAGAAAGCATGTTTCTTAGAACAAATAAAGAGGAGTCCTTTCTCTAGTTGCAGACAGTTAACTTAGACTTTTAATTTGGCTTAGTGTGACTTTTTCTGTAAACTAACATTTGGTCTTGACTTGTAGAGTAAAGTGGCTATGTTAAGGCCTTTTTATAGGCTTCTGTTTTTGCTTTCCTGCCAAACTTTAACTATTCAGACCAAATGTCAGGCAAAGATGACCAGACGAAAAATCCAAAGAGCAGTTTAAGGCATTTTTATTATAGAATGGCAATCATGGTTTAAAGTCGACCACACAATGTGTGGAAAAATGAAATTATGTTATATTATGAAAACTTGATTCAACTGCTACATCATTACCAAGGGTAAATTACTCCAATATCGATACTTTCCCCCTCCAACCTTTCAATGATAAAGTAAGTTGTTCCAAGTTACAAAGATCTCTGAAGAGGGCCTCCTTATGGTTGGAGGTGTCATTTTCTCTCAGCCTCAAAATGCAGCATTGCTGCCACACATACAAAAATATAGCTATAAATCTAGGATCATTTCTTTTTTTTATCGAAAGCATCTCTAGAGGTTTCATTCAGCAGGACCTTTTTTTTCATTCAGTCAGCATGTTTAAAATAGTTTCAGCAAGTCGTCAAACATTACATCAGTCCTTTGTTAATTGGCATCTTAGAGAAAAGTGTTATTTCTCATGGCTATTTTTACTAGCTTATAAAGAGAGAATTTAAATAGAGATCTAAATCTAGATTTTAAGACAGAATCCTGGTTTTGATTGCTAGATGAAAATTATTTTGTTTTCTAATCTTCCTTAAACTTAGAAATACAGAGATATCTCCTCAATAATTGTTATTGACTTTATTTGCATTGAGTAACTTCAGTTTTATTTTAGTGCAATTGGAGGAAGACATAACACCTGTAAAAATGTAATAAAATTATTTTTGGGTAATGTTTCCCTCCACACACATGCACTGGATGTAGCTGAACTGGAGGGCTCTTTCAATGAGAGATTGCTACATCCTCAACGCACAGGATTGTATACTTCCATGAAATTATTGCAAAGGTTTTGATTTTTAAATACATTCTTACTCTAGTACATTTTGAAACCTTCTAGATTAATGTGGGTTTTTAATTACCAGATTTGTACCATATGTTATTGAACTAAATCTGTGTATTTATTAGCTTATGTGATCTGGATTTTTATTTTTACTGCAAAGCCTATTAGTTTTTATTCAGAATTGTAGGGGGTTTGTTTCTGTCTGTGGTTCCCATTCAATTCAATTTATTTATATAGCGCCAATTCACAACACATGTCATCTCAAGGCACTTTACAGTTCACCAGATCATACAGTCAAATTGATTCAACGTTTTCTATCTCAGGAAAACCAGTTGATTGCATCGACTCATCGACTCGGATGCAATCCCTCACCCTAAGCATGCTTGTAGCAACAGTGGAGAGGAAAAACTCCCTTTTAATAGGAAGAAACCTCCAGCAGAACCAGGCTCAGTGTGAGCGGCCATCTGCCGAGGCCAACTGGGGTTGAAGGAGACAGAAGCAGAGATACAAAAAGCAGCTGTAAAAGGTGGCCCCGTCCAGGAAACACACAGCCAGGCAGACAAGCTCTGAGCCAGCTCCCATGTCGGAGGATGAAGAGAGCACATCCAGCCAGTCACAATCAGAGAAACAGGACACTGGAAAAACAGGCCGATCTCCAACATCTATAAACAAAGGTGTTGATGGCAACAGCACAGCTGATATTTCTCTCCAGGTTGGTGTCACAGGCAAACAGGAACAGATGAGGCAAAGCTACTATGAGAAAAAGCAGAGAGAGCAGAACGTTAGAGATTGAACTAACAGATTCTGCAGATTGGAAGAATAGAGATAGAAGCAGAATGATGAAATAGGGATGCCCATGTCCTCCAGAAGTCTAAGCCTATAGCAGCATATCTATAGAGATAGCTCAGATTGTGCTACTTGATTATTTCTCTCAATATAACTTTCTTTTAGGATCTTGCATATAGCACTCCATGAGGAGCCAGACAGACATTTTGCTGCTTGCTGTCATTGTGGATGGTATCACTGAGTATCATTTTATTTTTCCAGCTTTTTTATTGTCATTACGAAAGAAATGACAACGAAAATTAACTCTCTGCATTTAACCCATCCCCTTTGGGGAGCAGTGGGCTGACATTGTGGGGCAACAGGTTAAGGGTGTTTGCCACTCAGAGTGGCTTGAACTCTGGATTACAAGAATAGACCACTCCCTGTAATAATTGAATTTACATTTGAGAAATTAACCTCTGCATTTAATCCATCCCCTTGGGGAGCAGTGTGGGATAAAGGTGGGTCACCTCCCACAATCTGAGGGAGTGGAACTTGAACTCAGAACCTCAGGATTCCAAGCTCTATACCCTAACCACTAGGCTGCCACTTCTAGTCATTAGAATAATTTAGAACATTAATTTTGGTAGTCGCTCTGACAATCTTTTTTTTACTTTTTCCTCCACTTTTATATCAGTATTATAGAATAAAAACATATCCTGAAAAAAAAAGTTTTATTCGTATTTTATTTATTTTTTTATTTGTATTCCTTGCAATTTTTGTTTTGGATTATAAGCCCCCGAAGCTTAGTTATTGTAAACAAGGACCTTATCCAAGCTTTTATTGTGAAAGGGGAACCGGATATGGTTTAAATTCCGATTGTTTTTTTTCAAAGTAAAACGCCGAGGCAGCACTGAACTTTGTTGAGGAAGACTCATTTTATGACTCTATTATTTTCATACTGATCATTTCGATTGAGTTTTATAAAGAATTTTTTGTATGCTTTCGTTTCTCAAATCTGGCTTCGGGTTTTTCTATTTGTCGTCGTCATAGAAAGTAATCTCTGAGTTATTTCGAGCAAAAAATTCTGACCAAACCGCATGGGAGTCACGTAGTTTTTTTTTTTTCGTTAACAAAAAGAAAAAAAAAAACACACAACAACAAAAAAAAAAAAAAGCAAACAAAAAAAGAGAGATAAAACAGGAAGACATTTCCTACGTGGATAGCCTGGAATGCAGCTTTGACCTGGACGCACAGGGGAACAAAGATTGGCTCCAACCTGCGATAATGTTTATTTTACTGGCTTTTCAGCCTTTCTGACTGCAGCACCAGGATGGAATGGGGATTATGAAGGAGCCTTCCTCTCTTAAACAAAGAAGCACACCTCCGCCGGACTGGAGCAGCGTCGTGCGAAAGGGAAAACCCTTTGCGGGAAATGGAGAAGGAAGACTGGTTTGAGCCAAACAACACAGGCAGGCTGAGATTTCTGCATTGTTAGCAGCTGCTCCTCCGCCCTGCTGAGTGACAGAGCGTTCCTTTTCCTCACCACATGCAGCAACAGAGTGTTTACTAATCGGGGCAAATCAGTAAAAACAATGAGACTGGACTGTCTGCGGTTGTTGGTGGTTGTGGTGCTAAGTGGCCTCAGCGGCTCCGCGGTGCCGCTCGCCTGCAAAACATCCGATGAACGGCCGAGGAGCGGAGCGAAAAGCCCGGCATCCGACAGGAAAGTGGTCTGCAGCAACATGGAGCTCCATCAAGTGTTACCTCCGGACTCCTTCCCCAACAGAACAGTAACACTGTGAGTTTTTATTCTTTTACTTTCACATATTATCCATTGCATTTAGCCTCCTCCATGAACCAACTAATCAACAAATGAGATCCACCTGTGTCTAATTTAATCTCAGTATAAAAGCAGCCGGTCTGGTAGAGAACATCAAAGGCATCATGTAAACCAAGGGGGTTGCTAGAGAAGAGTGTTAATCTAGCAAGAGTCACAGAGCAACTATTATAGATGCATGTCACAAGTTTGGCTTTCATGAAAGAAATTTCGAAGGCGCTTTGATCAGATAAGGCAATTTGCACAGTAAGCCTATGTGTATCAGAAAAGTACCACTGCACATAACTATCCCCTCTGGGTTACATGGTGGTGGCAGCATAATGCTGTAGGTTTTTTTTCTTCACTAGGGATGAAGAAGCTGGAGAAATTTGATGGGAGGGCAAAGCCAGTGGGGAGCAAAGGAAGTGGTACAGGTGACCCCCCTGCCCCTTGTGGCTCAATTGTTGATAAACACATGCGTATGTGCTCCCCTGGAAGCTAAATCATGTGCTCAAGTGCCTCCTTGGGAGCCTAATCGCGTGTGCTAAAGTGCCTTCTTGGTAGCCAAATCGCGTGTGCTAAAGTGCCTCCTTGGTAGCCAGATCGCGTGTGCTAAAGTGCCTCCTTGGTAGCCAAATCGCGTGTGCTAAAGTGCCTCCTTGGTAGCCAAATCACGTGTGCTAAAGGGCCTCCTTGGTAGCCAAATCGCGTGTGCTAAAGTGCCTTCTTGGTAGCCAAATCGCGTGTGCTAAAGTGCCTCCTTGGTAGCCAAATCGCGTGTGCTAAAGTGCCTCCTTGGTAGCCAAATCACGTGTGCTAAAGGGCCTCCTTGGTAGCCAAATCGCGTGTGCTAAAGTGCCTCCTTGGTAGCCAAATCACATGTGCTAAAGTGCCTCCTTGGGAGCCAAATCACGTGTGCTAAAGTGCCTCCTTGGGAGCCAAATCACGTGTGCTAAAGTGCCTCTTAGGGAGCCAAATCGCATGTGCCAAAGTGCCTCCTTGGGAGACAAATCACGTGCCAAAGTGCCTCCTTGGGAGCCAAATCGCGTGTGCCAAAGTGCCTCCTTGGGAGCCAAATCGCATGTGCCAAAGTGCCTCTTAGGGAGCCAAATCGCATGTGCCAAAGTGCCTCCTTGGGAGACAAATCACGTGCCAAAGTGCCTCCTTGGGAGCCAAATCGCGTGTGCCAAAGTGCCTCCTTGGGAGCCAAATCGCATGTGCCAAAGTGCCTCTTAGGGAGCCAAATCGCGTGTGCCAAAGTGCCTCCTCGGTAGCCACATCACGTGTGCCAAAGTGCCCACTTGGGAGCCAGCATGCGTGCTAAAGTGCCCACTTGGGAGCATGCATGCATGCTAAAGTGCCCACTTGGGAGCCAACATGCGTGCTAACGTGCCCCCTTGGGAGCCAAACCGTGTGCTAAAGTACTAGACTTCTCCCTACAGTGGTGAGCATGCACTATATCTGCACCTTTTTTCTTTTCTGGCCCTGCCCTTGAAAAGGTCCTTGCACTCCACAGTTCTGAGCTGTACTGGATGAGTTTAGATTAATACTTATGGGTGTGTTTGCATCAGTTGTTAAGAGTTCCATAAGTTTCCCATTTAATTTGACTCAATGCAAGTTATCTTGCAGGCAAACTTTTTCACCTCCAGCAGTACAAAGCTTTTGCAGTTAGACACAAAAAGACTTGGGGGTTGTAACTGCAGTGAAATTTCCAAAACTTCCAACAGTACTAAAGAGTGACAACCATGTTTTTGTTTACTTTCCTGGCACACATGTGCACTAATTTGCTCTGGTGTCTCTCATTTCGATCCAAGTAAAACGCTATGAAGTGAAAACGTCAAGGAAGGTGCCGTAGTCACTACCATTTAACCACTGAATTCGCATGACACTGTATCTATGTGGCATTTATACTGGCTTACAGGCTATGAATTAAATGTGGGGCTTTTTTTGCACCAGGATGTGACTCAGACTATGGTAGGATAACATTTAAATTTAACTCTTGGCAGCATGCACCTGAGTAGACACCATGTTTTTACTTGGTAAGAGCAATCCCTAATTGTTGCTTTTTCTTTTCCTTCTTAATGCTTTATCAGCTAAATGTTTAAAACTCACACTAAACACACAAGTATGATATCACATAAGTTGATACAATTACTTTTCTGAGATGCACTTTTTTCTGATTGGTACTAAATGATCAAGGAGTGGAAAGCAAACAACAGATGTCAGAGAAAAGACATAAAAGGGGATTTGAAGGCCATTAAGTTAGTGTTTCATTTAAAGTAAGTAAAATCTACAGTTCTTAAATTCAGTTCTAAAAAAGGTAACAATAAACTTAAGGGTTAAAGAATGTATTGTTTTTTTTTTATTGTTTAGAAGCAGGAGACTAAAACCTTGAACATTGAAGTTTAGCTGCATTTTTTATTTTTATTTAATCTTCATCTGGAACCAGACATAACCTAAAATAGGCTCACCGTGGCGTGAGTCCAGGTGGAGCTGAAAAACTGGTCTGTCTTTAAAACGGACCTTTTCCTTCTAATTAAAACAAGATGTATTTTTAAACATTACTGTCTTCCTCTGTTGCTGCCCAAGGGGTTTTCCTTTGGTGTTCAACAGTCGTAGGCACTTATTAACAAGTTACCCTGAAGTGTTTCCACTTTTATACATTTTGTGAGCAATTCAAAGAGTTTGTAGGAATCATTTCCTGAGTGGGAAATCCTTTATTCCACCACTGAATTTTCTTAATGGAACATTTTATCTCATGTCAGGCTCCTTTAATGCTGGTGTAACTTAAATAACTTCTTTTAGCTCTTTTCTGGGGGTAAAGATTTGATGTAGATTCTTAGCTATATTCTAATGAAATCCAAGAGCTTTCTGAAGTTTTGGTGTTTTATTGCATTCAAGAAGAAGCAAGCATAATTTGATTTGTGGGAAAGGATTCAGCTCTTAAATATTTTCATTCTTAATTTGACTTAAAATATGACACATGGCAGTGATATAGCTGACTTTATAGTCTACTATAAACATTTTACATAATCTACACAGTTTGTTGGTGGTAATATATAACCTTTAGCTTCCTGGAGGTGTGGCAGTTCTTGTTTATAGCCCCTGATCTTGGCCTGTGTAGGGAAGTCATGACTGCAATTAGAAACCTTAGGACCGGGATATGTTTGGTTTTGCTTAAGATGAAAAGTGCTGAATAAACCAAGCCTTTATTTAATAAAATAATAGAGAAGAGGGGTAGGTGTAGCATTGGTGAGAGAGAAGGGAGGAAATCTTAGCAGTATGATTTAGAAGAACCCAAAACAAAATATAAACCCCTTATCAACAGTGCTTACAGTCTCAACAAGGGTTCACCAAAATAAGAGGTTTTACAATTGACTGCTGACCTTTAGTTTGTGGTTATTTGAGCTAACTATGAGCTTTTTACCTAACTTATTATAGTGATCCATGAAGACAGACTTCCAGCTTTAAGTTTAAGTTCTTGGAAATGTAAGGGTTAATAACGAAAAAAGTAAAGGAGTCTTTGACAGAAAATGTGAAAGAGGCAGCAAATCATAAGCTTAGAAATATAATCAGAGGGTTTAATGTGGTTTTATTCTGTTGAGCTTTTAGCTCCAATTAAAGTTTTGTGAGTTAAAATTGTTCTGCGTTTCTTATAAACATTTTTCTTAAATGTTATATTGTAGAGATGTCCCAATCTGCTATCAATTGGAATTAGTCCCATATCTGCTAGAAATTGAATATTGGGTTATGTTAGTCTGCATCTAAAGTCTATAGTATAAGCAACCCCATAGAAACTCTTTCATCTGCTTCTGTTTAAAGTTTCAGTGGTTGATAATAAATAGGTCAGTTGTTCTCATACATATTATTGTTGAATATTGTTCTCTATTTCAGTAAGATATTTTTGATAAAGCATTTTCTACCATTCTACAGTCAAAATAAGTAATAAAAGTACCGGTATGTATGATTTGTGCTGATATTATATTAGGTCTATATGGGATTACATCTGCAATGAAAAAGATGTATCATTCTATCCATATTAGGGCTGAAACAATTAATCGGATTAATCAATTATTTAAATAATTGTCAACTAGTTTAGTAATTGATTCATCGTTATCTGGGGTATATAGACTCTAAAACGTGCCTTTAGCTGACAGAACAACCCACTTAGAGCAGTAACTATACCAGCATTGTTAAAAAATATATAAACATTTTTGCATTTAAAATAAAAAAAAACCTTTCTTGTCCATCAATACGCTCTATCCAGAACTCCTCAAGATTTAGTTTCACCTGCTTTCATTTAATAAAAAATCTTCTTTAAGGAACCTTTTACTATCCGATTATTAATCGATTAATTGAAATAATCGACAGATTAATCAATTTCGCAAAATATTTGTTAGTTGCAGCAATAATCCATGTTGAATTTAAATAATTTAGGCTTGTCAAGATAATTATCAGATGTTTTTACGGGATCTTGTTCTAAGAACTCGCAGCAGTTTTTCTGAGGTTTTTATTTAGTTTATAACATCTGATTGAATGATCAACCAACATTTAGAAATGCAAATTAATTTGTGATATAAATTTTGGTCATATTTTCTAGCCGTAGCAGGGGATGCCTTATATTGGTACCCATGCGGAACAAAAACGACAAATGCAGAGTTATGTTGGTTTTTAAGGCCAAAGCCTGTACCAATTATTATTTTGAATTCAGTCTAATCAATCCCTAAAATGTACTTCAGATTTTTTTTTTATCTATTAGTTTTCCTGTTTCAGCTCATATGACAAAAGTAACACAAGTCTTAGTTTAAAAAAAAAGAACAAATGCTTGTATTAATAAAACATCAGTGTATTCTACATAGCGGGAGCGGCAATGCACAAGCTTCATGTGATCTCAGGGCATGGCTGCTGAATGCACTAGTGAATGAACGAACACATACATGGATTGGCCGAACCAAAAGAAAAAGTCTAATATCTGTAAAACAAAAACAACCACAAGATACACTGTCTACCTTTAGCACCAGGTTCTCAGGGTGATTGAAGTGCTATTTCTTTCCATCATTAAACTATAAGCTCAGCAGATCATTGCTGTTCCCACACAACAGGATGAAAAGCAGGAGGAATTGAACATCCAACAAAGTTCGGTGCTGCCCTGCACCGCTGCCCCTTCCTCACCTAACATATGCAGTCAGGTCAGTTTGCCCCAGTCTGAATGATCAGAGCAGGTGTTCACACAGATGCTCTGTCCTCTTAGGAATAAAATTTAAATTCACGGAATACAATCCTTGTAGTTTTCAACAAAAATCGTCCGATTTGCATGTTTGCATGAGGCAGTTTTAGTCCGATCAGCCCTTTTATTCCAAACACTTATGTGTAAGTAAGCATGTCCGGTGTGACAAATTAAACTGGGAGATTATTGGGGTGAACAGAAGGGGCGGTGAATTATGCAGCATTCTGGTTTAAAGATACCAGTATATTAGCCAGGCGATACATGCAGTTCTCTCGAGGATAGACCTTGCATAAAGAAGGGTAATCCTTCCTATTTTCTTCCTCTACTGAGCCATTATGTGTTTAGTGCTACCTTTAAAAAATCTGGTCTGTATTTGGTTGTTCATAGAGAGGCCTGACCAAACGGATTGTAGAATTAATTTCACAAAAACTTCTCAGTTTAGCATACTGGGGAAGTATGAATCCTGCCTCTGAGCTACATCCTTGGTGTAAACAGAGACCCGGTTATTAGAAGAGGCACACCCACTTGGTTTACTTAACAGAATATTTTCTCTTTTTACTTATCAGGGATGCCGCTTTTAATAAACAAGCAGGCCTGCTTTAGAGTAGTAGCAGAGAAATGGCCTGTTTATCTTATGGATACAACTTTAACTTTATCTATGAAAGTTTGCAAAGCTGCTCAGGGGTGGGATTTACCCCGACAGTTAGAACATAAACCAGTTCATCACTGTGAATCCCTCCGTTTAGAAACAAAGAACAGAAAAACCTGAGTAATGCATTCCCTGAATCCGACCGCTCCAAATGACACCGCATGCCTGAGTAATCCGAGAGGAAATGACACAAACGTGTTTACAGCTGGCCAGTCCTCCCATGTCAGTAGAGGCCCTCAGCTAAATTATGAGAGCTTGAATGTAGCTTTAGTTTCAGGAGACAATGAGTTCTTATTTCGGGTCGAGCTTTCTTCACTCATCAGGTTCTGTTTCTATTCGGAGTGGTTTAGTGTATTGAGGACCCTTTTCCCTGGAGCAACATGGTTGGATTGTTGTGAATAAGTACTCCTGGTTTCATCCCCAACAGAGGTGTGCAAGATTTATGTGTAAAGGACTGCAGGGAAAAGTGTGCTTAGTGTAATGGATCATTTGGGGGCTATAAACTAACTGGTTTTACTGTGCAAACTAGGGATAAGGGACTGGCTTTGTTTCCCTTCGGATTCTCTACCCCTCAACTGTTAAAGTGATTGCAAAATCCGATTTGTATAGAGTCTGATCGTTCTCTATGTCCGTCATCTCTTTGTTTTTCTTTCTGCTGCCAAATGTCTTTGAAGCATTTGTGCAACTGGAACACAAGGTGCTTGCAGTGTGGCATGACCTGAGAGTGTTTGCTTTGTAGGAGGGTTTGGAGCATGCTGGTGGTGCACAGGCATGGAATGTCCCTGTGTGTTGTTCTTGAGTGGTTTTGCAGTGTTTGCACTGAAAGGCAAAATCCTAAATATGAGGCACTGACAGCTGCATATGCATTCAGTTTGAAGCCTTTCATTTTGTAGCCTCTTTGAGCTGTTTCTATGTAGGGTTTCCCTCCAATTGTTTTTATTTCTCTGAGACAAGCAGACTCATCCAGTTTCAAGGCTTTGGTTGGTTAGGAAAGTTTATTTTGCAGGTCAAAAGTTTCCTTTAAATTGCGTTCTTTGTTTCCAGATTCCTCTTTTTAAAGTGTCTGTAAAAACACACAATATCTTCTATTATTTCAGGTTCTGCCAGTGAAACCTTATAATTTGTTAGGATCAGCCTTTTTCTGACACAGAACTCTTTAGTGTATTTTTTTTTTTATTTTACCATAATTTTCGGACCATAAGCCGCGACTTTTTCCCCATTTCTCAACCTTGCGGCTTTTATAACAATGCGGCTTATCTATGGACTTTTACAGCTAACGGCCACTAGGGTAATACCTAAATCTATGGATTTTACCATCCCCTGCGAGCGGTACGAGACAGAACGAAGGCGAGAAGGACGGACATTAAACATAAAAAACCTGCGGCTTATAGTCCGGTGCGGCTGGTATATGTACAAATCATGCAATTTAGCTTCTGTGGCTTATATTCAGGTGCGGCTAATAGTCAGAAAATTATGGTAATTTAGCTTAAATGCAACTTCAAATATGTAGACAACCTAAAAATGCAACAAACCCTCACCCTGGATTTTTTACAATAAAAACCAATGAGCATGAAGAACGTTGTTAAATAAATCTGTCTTTGCTTTATTCTTAAAACATTGTATTCCTTCAGTGTCTATATTGGAATACAGAACTATACACTTTTTAAAGGGATGGACATTGGTTTGTACCATTGGTTTAAATTAATATAAAATCTAAGCTATTTTAATCTTTGGGGGAAATTGCATATTTAAGGCTCTGCAGTTTAAAAATATAATTGAGATTAACACACACTGTATGAGTAAACACAATATGTGAGTTTTTTCCCTGGATCATTTAGCTGTTTTTTTTCTTGGCATGAATCCAAAGATGTATTTACAACACATGCCTCAAGATCAGCAATGTTTGAGGGCGGACCTGAAAAAGAAACCCATAACAAAAGCCTATGACATAAGCTCTAGGCTTTAGGACATGCAGAGGCGGGTCTGTTGAGAAGTAGATGACTAGAGTGTAAACATCATGACGGTTAAATAAGTGCTAAATTGAATCTAATTGGATTTATTTCTACCTTTTTGCTGATACAGATTTGCAATGACGACTTCTTTTCTCAGCTAAGAGTTGAAGGTGGAGGATAGAAAAGCAGCCAGCGGAAAGCCTCGTGACTCTTTGGAGTTTCCTAATTATCAGATTTACAGCCTTCTCTGAAAGACCAATGTTCTTTTTAGAATCTCAAGAAACCTCTTTACCTGTTCTTGTTTTCACCTTACTTTAAATGCCATTGAGACAAACATGGCATACTACCATTAAAGGAAAACCTTCAGCAAGTCTTCTCTGTCTAACCCCTGTAATGAAACCCCCTCAACACCCTGCAATAGCTCCAGTATCGCCTCAGGTTGTGGTAGCAGCTATAATCTATGTCACTATCCCACATGTTCCATCCCTGCAGGCCAGAAACATACTCTAACCACAAATCCCTGCTGTGGATTCCTGCACTGTTGGTTTTTGACACCCTTCAGGGTTTAATTTTAAAAGGAAAGATTTAACGCGGGAACTGAACACAAAGCTGGGGTTGTTTTATGTTGACTCTGCTGGTGCATCAGGAAAGTTATTTCTTGGAGTCCAGTTTCTCCTCCAAATACCAGCATATAAAGCTTTTTTTAGTTCTTTAAATGCAATTAAGTTATATTAAGTAAGAGATTATCCGTAAAAGTTATTCCCAGCAAAATAAATGTATGCAGGCAAGAAATGATACATTTTACTAGCTTACCTTTTACATGGGAAATGATTTGAGTCTTGTTTATGCTTTAAATCCCGCAGCGTTCTGATAAGGCAAAAATTGCCTCACTTCTACATCCCTTCCTTTAGCCAAAAAGTGTCTGTTATCAGGCTGTGTTGAAAAAAATACAACTCTGATTTGACTCTTATAATAATTCCTAAAAATCAATGTATATAGCCTAAAGCCAGTTTTAAAAAAGCACTTACAGCTGCCATTCACTACCTTTACTTTGTTAATTTTCTGTTAAATGTTAATATAATACTTGTATCAATATTTTTGCATAACCGCACAGTCACTGTTTTTAGATTAAATCAAAAAGAAATCTGCTCTAAATCTTATAACCTTTATACACATTATGTTATGTGGGGTCTGACTAGATTGTCAGGTGGGGGTCGTTTTATCCGATATTCATCTGTTAATACTGAAGCATCCTCTGTTGATGTTGCATAGTCCAGTTCAGGGGTCACCAATGTGGTGCTAGCAGGCACCAAGGGGTCCTCTAGGGCCACAGGTGGGGCTCCAGCAACTTCTGAAAACAGAACGCCTAAGTGCGAAATGTTTTTTTTTTTGTTACTCTTCTTTTTTAATCATTTATAGAGCATTTCATCATATTAATCATATAGAGCATTTAAGCATTTATAGGGATTTAAAAGAAATAATAAAACTATTTCTATTATGTATGAAGTTTAAGTTAACGCTTACCCCTCCCCCTCATAGGTCGGTATCTATAGACCATCCGATGCTCGGTAACCCTGCTTTAGTGTTGTGCATATATTTTTATATATATTCAATTGAATTCTGTATTTCTCAATCTGAATATGCATTGTTTGGTTCTTCTCTCCTCCCATGTTGTCCTTAAATATTTATTTTTTTGTTCTTTGTCCTGTGTGGGAAAAATCATTCCTGATTCTCTTCGCCTCTGACACACATGAATCTCCGCATTGTCGGGCAATAAAGAGTATTTCTATTCCATCCGTCCCCTAATTAGAAAAAGACATTTGATATCTTTGATTCCAGCTTCATATTTAATTAGCATAAATTCTTTTCGTACTTTTTGGACTCTGTCTGGTTTGCTTCAAGGGAGCATTTGTTTCCTTGCAGCTCTTACTCTGGACATGATGTATGGTCACATGACCGAAAAAGATTCAGGTGCCTGAAGCGTGCAATATTATACCCTAGAAAGGCACATCTGGGAGTTTCAGCTTGTTTTTGAGGCCGGCTTTAATTTAATTGCCTTTTTTATTTATTAATTTGATTTTGTTTTCTTTCCAGAATTCTCAATAACAACAAGATTCAAGAACTCAGAAGTGGAGCCTTTTTTGGATTGTCGAATTTGGAGAAACTGTAAGTATGTCTGCTAAGTAAAATTAATTTAACTCTGCCTTTGATTGGTTCTCTGAAACACTTTTCTGAGGGCGTTATTTTTTTAATGTGTTTTTATATTCAGCTCTAATCCATAAACCAAAGCGAAAATCTGAGCTGGACGATTAGTTCTGCTAATGCGTGAAAGTAGTCTGTCTAGAAATGCTGCTAGTAGCCTGATAACTCTACAGCAGCACTGTCTTTAGGACTGAATGAATTTGTCCAAAATACATTTTTTTGTTTGTTTGTTTTGATTTTCCTTTTGCACTAACCATAGGAATGTTTTGACTCCAGCGTTTCATTGACTTCATGACCTTAAAAGCTTGCTTGTTCAGTGTCCATTTTAAGTGGACTTTGCTATTGCATGGCTGCAAACCCACTCTAATAGTATTACAACTTTTTTGTTTGTTTAAAACCCATACTGATACCAATGTGCTGCTGATTTTTGTGGGACTGGAATCTGAAGCTGATATTGCTCTTTCTTCCTCAATTTACATGGTGTTAATTAGGGCTGAAACAACTAATCCGATTGTGATTAATCAATTATTGAATTCGTCGTCAATAGGGCTGGGTATTGTTCAAAAATTTTCGGTACCGGTACCAATACCGATACCTTCACTTCGATACCGGTTCCTGAACGATACTTTTTTCGATACCAGTTTTATAATATCAATTCGAAGAAAAAGAAAATTACTCAACATAAAAAAGTACAAATCTTGAGTTTTATTTTAAGCTCTGATTTTTCCATTTACATTTTTCCTCTTACATAAAAAAAAATAATCAGTGTCTAATATTCACTGTAACATTGTGAGGACCTTTTTACTTAGCAGTTTTCCTTTAGAAAAATTACCATGTCTGACAAACAAGCCCGTTGAATGGGATCCTACTAACAGCGCACCGCTGGTTTGGGGGGGTCTGAGCGGCTCCGACAGAAATATTGGAAGGCAGGATGAACTGACTGCACTGATTAAGTTTTCAGGTGGATTTTCCCACTTAAAAACATAATAAAACTACTTTATTCCCACTGATCACAGCAAATACAGCTGCAAGGCAAATAAAGGATAGAGTAGCTCCGCCCAACGCGCATCAGAGCCACTTTTGCACCGCGCAGCCAGAGCAGCAAAGCTTCTTCAGCCGCGCGTCAGAACTAAACTGGTACAAGAAGCAAAAAGGAAGCAGCAGACGTGATTTTGCTTCTCCTGCTGCGTCCAGTTTGAAATTGCAGCATTATTACAGCATTACTCCGCTCTGGCTTTGCTCTGCCCACGGGCTGCTGAGAGGAGGATGGTCGCGCTGGTTGCGGTCCGCTCTTCTTGCAGTCAAACACCGAGCAACCTTCTGCTCTTAAATTGTTTACGTGCGTGATGTATTGCATTGCGCACTATTAGCATCAGTCTTAATAAAGTGAAGCAGCACTTTTGACCTGGGGGGCATTTTAAAGGAGTTCCGCGACGCTCACAACCAGTTCACAACAGATACACATCAACCCTGGCTGTAGGCGTGACCACCTGTGTATTTTTCCTGGATGACGCAATCACGTTAAGTGTTACAGCCAGTCACCGAAACTTGGTACCGAAAGACGAGGCATGTTTCGATACTCGGTAGAACCGAAGCATTTCGGTCGGTACCGTAAAAGAACCGAAGTTCGGTACCCAGCCCTAGTCGTCAACTAATTTCTTAAATGAATAATCCGGGGTTCCTACAGATCCTTAAAAAAGTCTTAAAAGGCATTGAATTCTTCAATATAAAATAGAGGCCTTAATTGGTATCGAAATGTCTTAAATCAGTATTATTTAGGCCTTAATATTGTTACCACACCACATCATAAATAGGATTTTATTTTTGTAATCCGTATCAAACAATAAATTAAATGACAATGTTTTTCTTACGTTTACCGAACCGCTCACTGTAAAAAATTATTGGTTCTGTCCCGATAGCGGGACCAATAAAACAGATGTTGCGGCCGGACCATGGGATGGTGCGCTGGTAACTTTTTATCTGGACAATATGGGGAAGTTTTGAATTCAACGGAAAATAGGCTATCCATCCAAGAGTTTTCTGCATGGCTAAACCCCCTACCAGGGAATGTCGATGAAGCATGATTGGAATCAAGGCAGTGGAGATACATTTGCGAAGCGTGAAACTCAATGTGTCAAAATCAAGTAATGGAGAAGCAGCAGGTATATCTCCGTTCTGTCCCATCCTTGTCTCAGCAACGTCTTTTCTAATAACGTTTTTAGCATTCTTCCTATATGGAAAGTTTTTCAAAATTTGAAACAAATCTACTGGGCCAGAAAATAATGGTTTATGTTAAAATAAACATTTGGGGTAAATTTGTCGCTACCAGGTTTTTCTTGTGTTTATTGTAAAGTTGGTCTTAGATTTTTATTTTAAGTGGCCTTAAAAAGTCTTAAATTTAACTTGCCTTATGCTGTAGGAACCCTGTAATCATTAACTGCAGTTCAAATATTTTTCGTCCGTTAACATGGTCTATCCAGAACTCCACAAGTGGAATCGGTTTACCGGGTTTCTTTTCGTAAAAATTCTTTAAGGAACCTTTTGCTATCGAAATAAAAATCAACAAATTAATCGATTTGCAAAATATTTGTTAGTTGCAGCTGTAGTATTAATTACATAATGATAAAAGATTTTTTACACAGGTCTTAATTTAAACAAAACTAAACATTTATTACCAAATTAAACTATACAATAATAAAATGTATTGAATGGAGGAAGCAGCAAACCTCGAGCTTTATCTCAAAGCATGGCTGCTAAATGTAATAAGGATTCAGAAAATATATGGCTGTACTGTATTGGCCTATAGTGATAGAAGAAGAAAAAAAAAAAAAACGGTATAATTAGCCAAAAACACGGGCCGGATGGTTCATCAGTCTGTATCTAATTACCGTCGCCTAAAGGGCTGGAGTGAGAAAGTCAGAGTGTCTCTCTTGCTAGAAGTAATGAGACCATAATTGATTGCTTCTGTGATTTGAAAATCATATTTTGTTAAAAAGCAATTATATAGTAAACATTATTAATTGTCCAGCCCTAGTTGGATGGAGCCTTTTTGATTTTTAACACCATGGCTGTTGGAGACATTAACAAACGACTAAATTTCTTTTTCCATAGGTGAGAGGAAAGTATAGCAATGTGCATCAAATCACATCACTATTTGCTCCATGCAACCACAGAAAAAACTTTCATTAAATCTTTGAGTATTTGAAACCATAATTTTTGTTAAAACCTGCTGTACATCGATACTTTTAACCAGACCATGCATACAACTGTGTAATAAAAATGTAAAGAAAATAGTCAAATGAGTCGTCTACCTAAAAAGCAGCCCGGTGTCTTTATATGCGAGGCATTATTCAATAAAACTAATCCTACATAGGGTATTAAATTAGCTATTTTGTTAACAAGAGGTTTATATTTGAGCCTAAAAACACCAAAACAACTCTGATGAGACGTTACAGTATGATCCAACACATGTCTACGCTCTGCATCCTGAAATCAGAGTCTTCTTCTCTAATCTAATCATCCTTTATTTATGAGGCAACCTTATCCCACTTAATGCAATCAAGCGTTGGCTGTTTATATGTCAGCTTCTTATTTAAACTTTAGAGTATGGTCTTAATCATGTCAAGAGTTTGAACCATGCCAGAAGTGTGGCAACATGATGTCTGCGTTATATCATGAACGTTACAGTAAATGGCCTTAATTTGGGGGCGGGGAAGAAAAAACATTTTTTCTATAACTGCTGTTTATATGAAACCAGTCAGCAGGGACTTTAAAACTAGATTTTCCTCTAATAAATGTGTCTTTATAAATCTTTTCCGAAAAAAATATGCAAATATTGCAAAACACTATAAACTTTCCCCAACAGGTAACCACAGGTTTTTGTCCTCAAAGCCCTAAATCGCATCTAAAAGTGCATAAGCAGAAGTCATCCATCCATTGGCAAGAGAAGCTTGACTTGCAGAGAAGAGGGATTTGCAGAACACAAGCTGGGATCATGCCAGTGGAATATGAACGACATAAAAAATTAGGCATCCAGCAGCTCTTAGCCCGAGTCAGGAAAGGCTGTCGGTCTATTCTGGAAGACTGGGGGAAGTTGTAGAAAATGCTAATTATAGGAAGAGCCTCAAGGGTTAGCAGTGTTGTCTGCCTGGCGACAAGCTCTTGACAAACAACTGCTTGGATATTTCTGAGATTCTCTAGTTTCTAAATGGGAGGGTAGGGCATGCAGTACCTTGCAAAAGTTTCCACACCAGTCGGGTATTTTTTATTCTACACCCGCAAATTATCTGTGTATTTTATTAGGATTTGAGTAAAAGACCAATACAAGTGGTGCATAAGTGTGAAGATGGAAAAAGGAAAAAAAGACGCATTTATATATTTATAGCCCCGTTAACCATAACAAAACTGATTGTCTTTAAGAATCATTCGACTGGTTTGTGTAATTTGGTCATCAGAGGTTTGTTTGTGAATACTGGAGAACGAACAGTTTCACAAGAGCAAAGAAACAATGTGGACGGGTCAGGGAGAAAGTTAGATCAGGGTTTGATTTAAAGCACTTTATGAACCTGCAAACACCTCAGAGAGTCTTGTTTTATTGTTATCTTTTCAACCTTTTTGTTTATAAGAGCGGATTTCACAAGTGAAATTCTCCGTTGTGAGATCAAAAAGTTTTATTCTATTTTGTTCTATTTTATCTGATATTGAGAGAATATAACCACTTACCTTCTTAAACATGGATATCCACCAAACCTGATAGGCTGAGCAGGGAGAGCATTGACGCAAGAAGCGTTCACGAGGCCCATAGTAACTCTGGAGGAGCTGCAGAGGGTGGACTCAGCTTAAACTAGTTTGCAAAATACATTAAGGTAAACTTAACTAGAAGTGTTGTTAAAAGACTTTGACTATTATTCTGTAAATAGTTTGAAAACTATTCTATTACTTTCACCTCATAACGCCGTACTACATTGTGTCTTGAAATCTAAACCAAATACCCTTCGGTTTGTTTTTATATTGACCCTTAAGTGGCTGAGATCAACAAACTATCCTGAATCCACATAAAACTGCAAAAAGTTTATGTTTTCTGGCATCTCTGTCAGTTTTCCCTTTGCTTTCTTAACCGATTGAAAAATGTCAGCTGCATCATCCGACTCTGCTGCTGCAGCCTGGAATGTTGCAGTCCGTGCTTCCTTCCTACATGGAGATTCAGTATTGGCTCCGGGCCTGATCATATGGGCCACCAGTGATTTATCGTTAGGGAATGGCTTCATGCAGATAAAATAACCAGACCATTAATGGCCTCACATCTACCCAAGGCTACAATAACACATGAGTGCATTGATATGGAATTTTAAGTGCTAGTTCTTTTACTCAGAGCTCAGGCTGCTGGAAAAGTGAGCAAAGGTATGGCAAAACCTCATTGTAAAGGTGTCATTGTTCAGAGAGAAGATATTTTGCATGAACGCTATGTACTAAACAATCCTTAAATATTTGTGCTCATTATTTCTTCACATATTTACTCGTCTGTCGTCAGCGGAGGTTGTTTCTTGAGTTGTTAAACAGATCTCTAGGGGCCCCTGTAATTGAGCTGACTTGTTGGTTTTTCAGGCTTAGGCCTCGAGGATAAAACAAGGATCTTAACCAAATGTGCAAAACAAAAATCTTTGATCTTTCAAAGAAAGCCTTGAAGGCTCTCATATGTTTTGTCAGTGAATAGTCAGTCATTCTGCCTGTCTTTCCATAAATCCACGGGGAAGTTTTCCTCAGATAAAAAACTGCTATCAAGTCGTTCCCCCTCCCAGCCATCTACTGCAGTCCACCTCCAGATAGCTGTGAGTGCTAGATGGTTTGCTTTTTGTAATTATAATGAAGGCAAGCCAAGGCCAGAGGTTAACGCCTTAAGATTCCCACACACATTCATTTACACTAAGCATGCCCAAGCCGCTTTCCCCCATTTCCAAGGTCCTCCATTCCCAAGTCTTTTCCCTTTTTTCCATTCACCCTCTGTTTTTGCTTTGTCCACAAAGAAACTCTTCCTCATTTAGGCCGCTTAAATTCAGGCTGGAACAGAGTAGGATGAAGAATAGATCTTTGTCTGGCGTTCTCTCTGCGTGAAATTGCAAAGTAACTCTCAAGGTGCCCCTGTGTTCTGGTGGGGGGGCGAAGACGTTGCCGCGTGTTTATGAGCCACTCAGAATCCCCCTTTCTTATTCAACTTCCAGGGAAAGGAGATGGACTGGGAGGCTGTAAAATGCTGATTTCTTTCCAAATCTCCCGCTGTGAAGGAAAGCTTATTGTGAGAATAGAAGCAAAATGATGAGATGCTTGCTGATGAATCCAAATTTAGCAATTTATGGACCAATTATATGAGGAAAAGAAGTGTGCTTTGTTGTAAAAATGTATTACAATTGCATTTTCAGTACAGCATTATATTTAACTGAAAGAGTTCAATTAGTGGGACTCTTATGGTAATATTCAGATTTTTAAACTTTACTGTTTACAGATACAGTCTTATGAAAGGAATTTTACCATGTGCATTGGTATTGAAAATGGCAACAGAAATTTATTTGCACCATCTTTTAAATTCTTTGAAAAGGACTTGCAATGTCTTGACTAGATAAGTAACCATGTTCTTAAAAATATAATTTTCTATTTATACCTAAAGGTGCATTGAGCAGGTTGAAGAAAAAAAAATAAAAATAAACACGTTTATTTCCTTGCCATACATGCCTGTACAGTAAAATTAGCATTCTTCTATTAACAATAGCTGCCTCTAGACTCCAGAGTCATATTCTGTGGGCATGCACACATATGACTCTCTTTTAATATCAAAATAAACAAATGAATGTTAGTTGTACTCCAAGAAAGAATCCTTGATAAGACAGTTGCCAACAAACAGAAAAAAAGCTTTAATAATCATCCTATGGGTCCAGTATTTTAACCATCTCTAAACCTGCTGCAGTCCTCTGTAGAAAACCGGACTGTATGTTGCTGATTTTTAATGTTACTCCATTGCTCATTCATTCATAAGCTATACTGTACTCTGTAGTTCTTCTGCTGGGTAGCAGGGAAACTTGTCTTACAGTTTCCTGTTAAACATAAGACAAATTAAACCTGAAACCAAATCCAAATAACTGACTCATCTCCATTTTCCTTTTGTTTGTCTTTATTTACCAACCTTTCCTGCTCATTGGGCTCTATGCCTGCAGGTACAATGACGTAACTGACGATATGACAGTAGAAGCACTAATCTCGACTGCAGGGAAAATGTATAGCCTTTCTACAATCTATCATATGTACTGCACAGCTTTAAAAGTGAGCTGGATGCGCACCACCTGAATGTCATGTTTCAACACATGCACTGTAGATGCCATGCCAAAAGGCAGATTAAGAAGAATGAGCTTTAGGTAATCTTTCTGTCAGTGAAACATTATTTTAATGATCAATGAACACCATAGTTGTTCCTAAACTGCTAGGTTTGACGAGAACAATTTAAAAACACACCTTTGAGACTCTGCCAGCTATTTCAAAGTGAGAATGGCCAGAAAAGCTGTGCTTTCTCAATGCAAATAGGTTTAATACACATCAAGTTATGTATTGTCTTCTGTCTCTGAAAAGTAAAGGTGCAGACAGTTATGGTTAAATATGTTTTTTTTTTTTTTCCTTTAACAGTAAGAGCATTTGTGTTTAAGGTGTATTTCTACTCTTGGCCACACTATTTTGTATTTGTGGTGGTTGGAATCAGGCCCCCATGTTCTCAGCACCCTGAACACTTCACTCAACATTTTCCTTTCGCACTTCAATCTAAAAGCGGCTCTCTCTGGACTAATTTCTCTCTCAGCACCTCGTAGTAGGAAGAAGAGCTCGGCTTGCTCACATCAAAAGCTAACAAAAGATATTTTGTCTAGGACTCATTTGGAGTCTGGAACCCACCTGTAGTTGACAGTTTGAGGACATCAAACGGGCAGAGTTACCTAGTGGTGTATTGTGTGGGCTCAGGTGGCGACTGGAAAGCCTCTTCAACCTCCCTTTGAGTGACGAGGCTTAGCTGGCGCAGGTGAGCGCCGCAGGAATTCTGTGACCACAATCCTTTGAACCCCAGGAGAAGCTGGGGAACGTAGCGGCTATGTGTGAGCTTTTGAGGGTCGGGTCATGACAGCAGTTATGTAGCACCGATTGAGTTTGGAAGGAGGTCTGGTTGTTATCATTAGATTAAAAGGTGCAAGACGCTCCTTGCTGCATGCCTTAATTGTAGGTGTCTGTTTCTGCTCCCTTTAACTAGGAATTTTCTAACATTGGCCAGAATCCATTCCTCTAGGCCCTGACCTCCTTATTCTAAGTTCTTGTCTATAAAATAATCGGCATGAGGTTGAATACAATTAGAAAATGGGAAACGGAACCCTTCAACTGAAAGGAGTTGGTGTATCATAAGATTTTTGTCAAGACATTCTTCTATCAAAGAAACAAATGCAGCATCCAAATAAGTATGTTGATTTTGCCATATTCTGTTGTACAACTATATTCTTACAGATTTGTAATGTATTAAAAAAATAATTGTAGAATTAAGACAATACAATTATATACAGACCACTCAACATTATACAATGTTTTCTTACTAAATCATGCAATAAATCAGTATTTTTTTCTGCCAAACTAAGAGCGGTTTTACACTTGGGATGGGTAGTACATACATTTGAACCTATGTGGTACCACTGGAATTGATGTCTGTACTCAAAGATATCTGTTTTGGGTACCTTGCAAACGTCATTTTAAATTTTTTTTAAATAAACTAGGATATTTACCTTAAGCGGATAAAGATGATGTTGCTTCCTCATGTTGTTGGATGCAGATGACGAGCCGCCAACAGATACTAATGGCGCTTAATGCAGGAGTTGTAGCCATGGATCTGAGGATCTTGACCCTTCTGAAAAATATTGAGCTTAAGCAAATTATACCTCAGATTTAAAGTTTTCCAGCCGGTGGTCTTGAAGTTCGCTTCACAAATATCACAGCGAGTATAATCTGCATTGCATTTTAGAAAGTTTAGCCTTTCTAGTTTTTTTCTGTTAGCCATCATCACATTCTTGTGCGTGCAATGCTGCGTTCGTGTCTTCCATGGAAAATCGACCATTTTCCCCACTCCCTCACAGTGAAGCGTTTAGGTACTGAAACATGTTACCTTTTGATTTTACAAGAATAGGTTCTTGGTAGTATATCTTGGTAGTCGATATCAATAAATGTACAGAATTCTGTACGAATCCCTGTTTTACACTTTCCCATGACTTTTACAATAACGACGAAGTAAAAGCACAGCGCAACACAGTTGACATTGAATTAAATTGATTCAGCATTTGGTAAAAAAAAAAATGACAGCCTCCTTAAGAATTAAAATTTTTTGATCTTACATAATTTACATAGTCCATGTTGTTGGGTCTCCTCTTAGAAAATTAGTAGCAAGGTTTAAAAAATTCAAAACCTTTTATTTATGATCTTGCTTATTGAGAATTACCTAAATAATTAACAAAGCTGTTGTTATTATTTGCTGGATTTTCTTCGTCCTGCTGACCTAAAGGGAATCAAATTTACATTTTTCTTTCCACAGAGACCTCCGGAGTAACATGATCAGTCGCATTGAGCCGGGAGCTTTCCTTGGACTCAGAGCACTGAAGAAACTGTGAGTATCAGAGCATCTGCTGTTCCTTCAGATATTTAGTCAAAGGATTCACAACCAAAGAGATTCTCCCCTTAGTGATCACACTTGCAGGATTTAAACTCTTTGAGTGTTAAAGAAAATACGTGACATAGTTCTCTTTGTTCCTTAAGCCAGACTTAAAAAGAAAGAAAACAGTTCAGGATCAATAAGGAGGAGCCTGTTTGGGTGTAATATGGCACACACATAGCAGCAATGGATATAGAAATGGTTTAAATCACAAGATGCTGCTATAGAGACTGTACTAACTGGAGAAGTATAACACCCTTCCATGCTGTCAGGTACTCATTGTTTCCAACATGGATTGCTGTGACGTCTCTACACCAAATATACAAAGCAGTTGCATTATTTGGGCGTCTTTCAGTTGCAAGTCAATGTTTTCAATCCAGAACCTCCCTGTAACTTATTACGCCTCCACTTATGTCCTTTTCTGATTTTTCTATATATTTCCAAGTTCTTCTGAATTCTGTTTGAAGCAGGTGTACCAAAAAACGTGTTTTGTTTAAAAACTAAACATGGTTTTCAGGCCTCGGTCTTTCCTCCCATCCTTTTCCTGTCAGGAATTACGAAAACGTTTTAAACATTCCTTGTTGCATAAAATGTCTTTCAAACGTGTTTTTAAAAAGCATAGAGTTAATTATTTATATTAAGCTTTATGTTTTTAGTTTAGTATTAAAGGTTGAATTAATTCCCTTTCATTTTTCCGTGACAAAGGGAATTGTATAGAAGGAGTTGCTTTAGAAAATTAAATAAGGGCGTGAGGAACTCATATCATAGAAATTAACTGTTACCAGAATCTGCTTATTCTACCAACTGTCATGCAAACTTTCATGTAAAAAAAAAAAAAAAAAAAAAGAAGTTAGTTAGAGGTGTTCCATCCATTGTAGTAGATAAATCAAGGTGATGCAATGTGAAACCTATTCGATTGATTGACTGAGTTTATTGATCTCACAGTGGAGAAATTTACTCGGCACATCAGTTCAAATATGCAAAGAAGAATGTGCCAAAGAAAGAAAAAGGTGCATGGGATATATACGGTACATACAGTGTGTCCACATATGACAGCTTTTTAAATTTTTTATATTAGGATCATTATACAGGGTTATTGCACAGTGTGTTTACATGTGCATTTATACAGATGGATAGATATATATATGACCTGCAGTAGTTCTCCTTTTTCACAAACAGGGTGAACAGGGTGACACGCATTGACTTTATTCTTGTCTATATAAACAGGAAGTGGTGCTAGCAAGCTAATGGTCCAAAGACTTGCAATGGCCCACCTATTTAGGTCGATCTCCAGTAGCTGAAGCAGGAGCAAATCAACACGGACTCTTGCGTGTTTGTAAACACATAAATACCACGAGAATTCAGCTTACAGGGAAGGTTATACAGAAATCATAATCATCTCAACTTTGGATCAGAAAGTCGGACAAAATAGCCTATTAGATATCAGCAAATTCACTGATCACTCCATGCATCAGTGTCATACAATAGATTAAAAAGTAGATGTACTGCTCTGGAGATGTAGCTGTTGGTTTGAGCTATGCTGACAGGACAGAACAGAGGAGTGGTCTTATTAAGTGCAGGATTCTTTCCGCCATCTTTACCAGAGACAGAGGAAAAGGGGGGTCTGGCCCAGAGCTATAAATGGTGCAGAATAAGATGTCCATATGGCTTATTACAATAAAGAAGAGAATAAAACTTATAATTTGAAAGGAAACTGATTTTGCTTACAGTTCAGGGAATTTAATACAATATAGGTGTGTTGAGAGGTTAAATGTGCATTCAAGTTCAGCCTTTAGCTGAAGAAAATCCTTTTTTTAAACTAGTAATTTCTTAAATGTTATTTTTTTCTAGTTTTAATGGACTTTGCATAATGTTAATGGCTTTTTTTGCCTTTCTTACCTGAGACTTTTATATTGTTTGTTTTATTGGAATTATATCATATTGACCCAAATTAAGAAATATATTGTAATATAAGTTTTGCCAATATTGTCCACCACTGTTCATTTGTGGTTTTACATAATGTGTGATTGTAGAGCTGTGAGTCTGTTGCATGAGACCGAGGTGGATTCATCAGATTGTGTTCAGCCTGAGCCAACACAAACTTTAGCTTGGCTGCTGCTGTGGAACAATAAAGAGCTCACCAGGAAAGCAATCGTCTCTTCCTGCCTGCCTCTTCTCTGTGTATTTTAAAGCCTTTTACTCAGATCAACAGCTGTTGGAAGGATTTTTTTTTTCTTTCCCTGTTCTTTTTACCACCTTAAATAGAAGCACCTGTGAAGAATTAGTGTGATTTCACAAAATAGGAGCTTATTTACGAAAATAGGATATAATCAAAACCTGGGACATGCAGCTGTGCATCTGCTCAAAGAATTGGAAAAATCTTGGAGTAAGACTTGGAAATAACTTGCATTGATAGAAAAAAAAAATACCTTGCTACTGAGCAGTTGGTTGTATCGTGATATCTGAAAGTTTTTATGGTCAAGAATTTTTTGGGAAAGATTTTTCTCATGATTTGTTCTCTTTCTCTCTACCGAACCTGAACCACAACACACAATCAAAAGGCAAAGCACTTAGAGAAAGGGAGATTTTGGTTTGCGATTTTTCTGCAAACATTTAGCCAATTTATCATACACCACCCCGAATCCCACCATTTGTGTTTTATATTGGTGGTAAATAATATGCCTTTAGTTATGGCTTTGAAAACCAGCTGACATTTACACTGGGCTCATCTAAACTTTTCCAGCTATTAAAATTTCTGCTCTCTAATGTGAACATTTATTTTTTAAAAATAACATAAAGAGAGAAACAAAATGTACGAACCAAATAAAGCTTTAATTTTGAAATGGGTGTTTTTCTTTCGTATTGACAGTCTCTTAGCCAAAGCTGACAGTTTTCTCCGCCTAAGATGTTTGAATACATTTTAACACCCTTCTTTGCTCAGCAGTGCGGATCCTTCTGCCGGCGGCCTCCTTTAATGTACATTCCTCCAACAGCTGAAGCGGCTCTGCTCAGACCTAATCACATTAGGCTATTTTTGCTCTTGCTCAGCATGTCATACACAGCAGCTGATGTGCTGCGCTCAAACCATCCTTCCTATTAGTTTGCTACACGGCAGTGTCTGAAAGCAATGATATTCTAAGAACATAGCCTGGTTTGCACGTTGAGTTACTAGAGCAATTCCTGACATAGTTACTGATTACTATAACTATGTTCTCTGTCTTGTTTGAAGTGCTGCGAAATGTCCTTAAAACATGATTCCAGATGGGGAAAAGAAGAAAGGGAAGGGGAACCCCCTCCTTTAAAACCCATTTTTGTCTCCTTCCCTTTCCTTAATGCAGAACACGATACTTGTTCAAATTGGCAAGTCTGCAACAGGCAGTTCTCCTTCAAGTTGAGCTAATAATCCCACACAGCAAATTCCTCGTCTGCTACCTGACAGACAAACGCCAGTAATAAAAATAATGAATGCTTGGAAGTTTTAATTCAACAAGTAGTTATTTTCCTGGTATACTTTTATTCCTCAAGCAGTTCAGCTGCTTGGCATTCACTTTTCTTTTGCATCTACTTATACATTTTTCCTAACCTGACAACAGCCAGATGCATGTCTCGCTCCGCCCAGCTCCACTCACATACATCTGGGAACCCGCTCATTGAAAGTGATTTCCCCAACCGAATTTATGGTCTGTCCAATCAGGACGCAGAGTGGGTGTGTCCTGGAGTGGAGAAGCGACCGTGAGATTCCAACAACAATGGCGGCTCGCATTGAGGAAGCAAGCGTTAGCATTGATGCTGCTATTTCTTCTGTGTTGTCCAATCTATCTGATATTGTTTCATTAAAAGACCATCAGAGAACGGCTTTGAAGGCTTTTATTGGTGGAAACGATGTTTTCGCCCTTCTCCCGACCGGATTTGGCAAGACCTTGATCTACCAAATGGCTCCTCCTCTCACAGCGTCACGGGTTAGCTTCGGTGTGAGTGGTTGAAATAGCACGTCAATAAAGATGACAGACAAGTGGCTTATCCAATCATATGCAAGGAGTTTTGATAAGGCCCAGCCTTCAGTAAAGGCAATTCCTATGGCGGGTTCCCAGATGTATGTGAGCGGAGCTAGGCGGAGTGAGACATGCATCTGGCTGTTGTCAGGTTACATTTTTCCTGCCAGATGTCTGAAATTAAATTGTTGTTAGGGGAATATTTGTGTCATGCTAGAAATGTTTAACTTTATAGGTTTAATTATAGTCTCTATGCAAATGATCCATCCATTTACCATACCACTCTATAGTTGTTGACAGAGCTGTGGGGGGTGAGATGGAGCTGATCTTTAGCCTTTCATTGGGCTAGACAGAGGCAACTAGAAATACTACAAGATGATTTTTTTCAAGCAGGTGGAGTTAAACCAAGTTAAATTTTATTAGTGTACAAAAAACTTTATTTATATAATGAAAGTTTTTTTTTTTTTTTTTTTAGTTTATAAATAGGAAATTATTAGAATTTTAACTTTGATTTACCTGAGGAAAATGTTTTGGGGGTAAGCATTTCATCTTCTTTTTTAAACTGGTTTGCCATTATACCACTGGGAATTGATTAGGGTTGCTACTAACGATTATTTTGCAAATCGATTAATCTGTCGATTATTTTTTCGATTCATCGATTACCGTAATAGTCGAATTGCCAATGGCTCCTTAACGAAGATTTTTATGAAATTAAACCAGGTAAAGCTAAACCTTTTCCACTTGATGAGTTCTGGATTCAGTATAATGACAGAGCAATAATATCAAAATTATACAAAATATGTAAACATTTTGCATTTAAGATTAAAAAAGTTTTCATCTACGTGGGTTGCTCTGTCAGGTAAAGGCATGTTTTGATCTCTATACTCCAGTTAACTATTAATTGTTTACTAAAGTAGTTGACCAATATTTAAATAATCTATTAATCACGATTAATCCAATTAGTTGTTTCAGCCCTAGAATTGATGCCCTAGAGATAGATCCTCCATCCTCCATCGTTTTATTGTTTACCTCAAACATGATGATCAAAAATTTGGAAATTAAACAGGTTTAGAGCTTTAGTGTGTTGTTCAAGATTAAACGTCAGTTCAAAATAGATTAATTTGGTCAACAAGGAAGATGCAACAGATAGGCTTTGTGGACCAATTGTGAAAAAAAACCAACAAAAAAAAAACCTATGGCATTGGTTAAAGAGTGGAGACGGCACGTTCAGGAACTCTTCTTGCTAAACCAGTGGTTTAGTGGTTGTGGGATATTTTCCCTTGATTGGCTTCACATCACATTTACCAGGTGGTATCCTTGTCTACCTTCGGGGAGCACCACACCCTAGGATATCTGGGCAAGACAATCCAACATGTTGGTTATTGATCGGTGCAGTTGCCGATGTCTTTCTGGACAGATCCAATCACTCTTTGCACTCCACACACAGCAGGGGTGCCTCATTGGAAATCAGAGCCTCTCAGAAGGGGAAGATGGGGCAACATTGTGCGATAATCTTCCCATGTGAACCAGGCATTAGCCTTCTGGTTTGACAGAGAACTAAAGCCAAAAACAAAACCCTTGGATTCAACTCTACGAGCTTCAATCTGATTTCTTCCAAACCCATATGCTCTGATTAGAGGACTGTCAGCTGATTACCAGACCCATGACATTAGGTATTCATCTGAGAGTATGCTGGTCTGTGACTAAACCCAAAACTGCATTTGTTTACCTTTTTTGTTTTTAAATGCATTCTGCATCAGTCTGTTTTGAGATTTGACTTCTCTAGTGTGCATTTTCCTCCTAAATTTGTTTAACTTTGCCTCTGTATATTATGCCTTGTCTCATGACATTCCAGCCAAACTGCCAGAGTAGACCCTTGCTCTATCTTTGTCAGACAATCCGAGACACAGATGTGGAGAATCCTGAGTTTTGTCCCTTTCATTTCATCATGTTTTAATTGCTATGAAGGTCATAGAACCTGTCGGATCAGATGCCAGATCAATGAGGTATAAATTCTAAACTTGGATTTTCATGTAAACATTTCTAAAGTATGGTGTTTTTACACACACATTGTTGCTGTAGATATGACTGTACTACAAGTTGGCAGTGTTTAAAGCAGTCGGAGCCTTGTGGCTGTCCTTGCACTGCTATATGATGGAGAATGAAGTAACTGACGTCAGCAACATTCATCTTCTTGAATTTTCGTGGCTAGAATCATCAGGTGCTCCTCCTGGGAGGCGTGAGGTGTGTTGGGCATTTCTCTTTGATGTTTTTCCACAGATGTCATGTCAGGTCACATCCAGAGTTGAAGAAAACAGACACTTTTGATGTGTTTGACATTAATAGTCGGTGATTAATCATCTCCCACTGTGCCACTCTGCCTTTAAAGTTTCAACTCCCCCCCGAGGCCCACATAGACATTATCTAATGCCATCTTGGAAGTTGTAAACCTGTCTGCTGGATTTTTGAGCTCCCTGCCCCGACCTGTTGGCTATGCCTGACATTCTAACTTTTTAAATACAATCTTTTCTCCACTTTTACGATAATCAAGGAATCTGTTTTTCTTTTTTCTTTTGAATCTTTTCCAGGGACCTGTTTAACAACAGCATTAGCTGTCTAAATGGAGACATCTTCAAGGGCCTGGACAGCCTGAGTCGACTGTGAGTCTTGTTTGTTCTTCTGAATATATTAAGTGGAATAAGTGAAGTATAGACATTAACAATGTGTCTTTCTGCAGAAACCTTTCAGGAAACTTGTTCTCCTCATTGGCTCAGGGAACGTTTGACAGGCTGGTGTCTCTGAAGGCACTGTAAGTATAATAAGGAAATGGTCTACAGCCGTTTACCTCATCCATTCCCTCAAATGTAAATGTGGTCTAAATTTTGTTACATTAGGGTCAAAAACAACTAATCAGCTTACAATTGATTGTTGTATAATGGTTTTATACATTAAGATTTGTCCCATCCAATTGACTGATTACATCTGTTTTGATGGAACTTCGTTCACTGTTGTAGTGTTGCTATCGTCCTGTAGAGGGCCCTGCTCTTCATTCTTGAGTGAAGCTTCACTGATATGGGGCTGAGGCATGCTAGAGCATAAACATGAGTTAGTCCAGAGACCAGTCCAGGTTATACTGTTTATTTCTGATAAAGATGCAGAATTCACTTTATGTGTTTCTGGTTGTAAATATTAACACTAGATAAACTTAAGTTATTGCCTAAATAGCACCCATTTAGCTGTGCTAAATGGTGGAGCATCGCCAACTTCTATGCTGTGTACAAAAGGCAAAAATATGATGACAGAAAAGTGAAGGGCACTTTCTAAAACATTAGTAACTTGATAGAAATTCTGGCAATTGGCATGTTTGACTGGAACCACCCATTTAAAACTTGCTTAAGCCTCTGTCACACCTTGAAGATTTAGACCAGCGTATGCCTGACGTAAGAAAAATCTGGCAAAAACGGCATACGTTGGCTAAGTTATGGGTGGGTTTTGTATAAGTTTTGATCATGCTGAAACATGTCGACATACGGAAAATTTGTTGAGAAATTTTGAGCAAGTTATCTGCTAATTGACATACGTTAAGTCTAAGTTACTCATAAGTCGTGGCGTCCAGCTTATCCAAAACCTATGAGTAGCTTGTGCGTAACTTATCAAGAACTTATCTTCAACTTTGACGTGTTCCAGACGACCGCTGAATGTGTTTCTAACTTAGAGCTACTGTATAATGAAGTATTGGCAGCATTGTGGTATGAAAGCGGATTCACAGGAGGAAACTGTAACTTCTCCTCCAGATTTGATTCCCATCATAGGGTGAGTGAGAAGGTGAGTGTGATGGATCCTCCCTGCTCTCACGCCCACGACCAACAAGCTTCCTAGCAGACATGATGCTAAATCTGCAAACCTTCTTTCTTTTTATTTCTTCTTTTTTTTGGGGGGGCGGGCATCTTTGGACATCTTTTTATGCAGACCAGAACTCTTTTAACTGATGCTTCATAATGCCCATGGAATGATGTGCATCAGTATGCTGTCATGCATTATACATAAGTTAGGTTGTTGTTGGACATAAGTTTTGGACTTGTTATAAATACGCTATGTATACGCCCAAAATAAAAAAAAAATGTATAGAAAGTACAGCGTATGCCAGCGTTTTAGGAGATTCTTTGGAGAATTGGAGATTTTTTGGATTACGTGACAAAGCTATAAAACTGTTACTGTCAATTTTTTTGAAATATGGCAAATAGTCAAAAATTTTATGTCATATTTTAACAATTTGTGAGATTTTTTAGTTTTTTATTCAGTATTTAATGCAGCTGGTACAAAAAATGGTTAAAATAAAAATGTACTTTTTATTTTCAGGAAATTGTAAAAAAAAAATAAATAATAACCATTGATCTTATGGAAAGATCCTCTTGATAAAACTCTGTTTTTAAGAAAATTGCCACTTTGACCAATAAGATGGATCAACTTCAGATTAATTTATTTGTGGATAAGTTGCATTATTTGTCATCAGGCTTCTTTCTGATTTCAGGGAGTTTCAGACACCTTACCTCCTCTGTGACTGCAACCTTTTGTGGCTGTTGCGTTGGATAAAAGAGCGGAACCTTTCTGTGAAGAACACAAAGTGTTCCTACCCTCAGTCACTCCAGGGTCAGCTCATAACCTCGCTGAGGCCTGAGCTCCTCACATGCGGTAAAGGCACAGACTGTTTTTGTTGATACAATCACAGCCCCTCCTTTCTTGCTTTCTTGGCTCCTCCTTTCTAGTCTGTTGTCCCGCATTGTAAACTGAACTGAATTATTTTGTTTTTGGGATCTTTTTTAATTATTTTGATCATAGCGCATTGCAGGACTATGATCTTCTTATTTAGATTTAGAAGCCCATTATAATTAGAATCAAAATTAATGTAAAATCTGTAATGAAAGACGCAGTCATCACTGCACAGATGAGGGGCCTTGGTTCAGATTGATGCCTTCAGCATCATCTCCACATCACCAACCGTGGTTTGAATGCCAGCAGAGCCTGAAGATAATTTCTGCTTCAACCTTGTAATATCTTATTTAGTGCTGTTTGCAAAGTCCAAATAGAGAAGTCTCTGGTTTGAGAACTAGATCTTGAAGATGATCTTTGTTCTTTAAAGAAAAACTCACCCTAACATTAGCTTTTCTTTGCTATTTAACTATATGTTCTCCTGATCAAAACTATAAGACCAGTGGAAAAATTGTCATATGTCGAGGAAAATATAATTTATATTTTGCACTGTTTGTTGTAATCCTTCGTTCACACAAAGTTGAATAAAATATCCACCAAAAAAAACAAAAACGTAATTGTAAAGGTTAAACCCCCTGAAAAAGCTGTGTAATAAATATGCCATGCTAGTGCTGCCATTCTGCTATAGAGGGCAGAAAGAAGTAGGATGTAAAATATTAACACAGCAAAAAACAAAAATAATAAACCTGTAAAATCCTTAATAAATTAAATAGCTTCAAGCTTATGTATAGTCTGTTTTGGAGCCACTTCTTCATGATGGGACCCCTAACAGACAAGGAAGCTTGTTACGGTATATAGAACCAACCCCAGCTTTGCCTGAATGGGACCCTCTTAGAGCCTCCGAATGCAAAGAAAGAGACGGGAAAATAAGAGTAGTCAATTTATTGCAAAAACCATTAAACTAAAATAGGCTATTCAGCATCTGATTGAAGATTTGAGGTTATATCTAAAAATAAAATAAAAAGAGCCACAAAAACTTGTTAAAATGGAAACAAACTGTTCAAAGGACCCAGTAATGAGTAGCTGCACTGTTCTTGTTAATCACCTCGAAAATGAGTTTCAGCATCCTTGATGTTGGTCTTTCTATGGCGGAATCTGGCATTCAGTGTCTGGAACTGGTGTCTATTTTTTAAACTTTACTTACCATCCAACCCCAAATGTTCTCTGTTAGATTTAGAATGAAAGAACACACAGGATGGTTTTAAAGTGAATCCTCCTGCTTTTGAAGATATAAGCTGTTAAATTTGATGGTCTTTAACTTTTGATCAGATAACTCATTATCCTTAAGAAGGTTTAAAGGACTGTTTAGCTACATCCTGTTCCTGTGCTGAAGGGACTGCAGAATAACTAATTAATTTTCCCCATGACATGTTGATGCCTGACATAAGATAACTTGGTTCCTGCATCTCGACTTTTTAGGGAATGGCTTTGACCTTTCAGTCACGTGACGTGACTGTTTAAAGCAGTTTTCTGCTTTCAAACCTTGGCGTTGAAGCTTGTTCTGATCCTTTTAGCTGTGCGTTTAAGTAGAGGCAGCAATTTAACTGACAAAATAGTCCTTTGTGTGCATTTCTACCAGAATGGCCCATGTTTGGGGAACTTGAGCTTGCCACTGACATAGCAGATAAGAACAAGCCTGCCCAGGCCGGTCCTGCCTTTGTTTGGACCTTCTCATGTTATTTCAGGTCTCCTCTCATTCTGGGATTATAAAACACGTGACACAGATTTACAGGGAACTTCTTTTCAGCATGAATTGAAAGTAACCCTGAATATAAAGGAATTCAGCTTAATATTCTCTTTTTTTCTTTTCTTTTTTTCTGAACTAGGGAGAATAAAACCATTCAAACAAGGATCCCTACCAATGCTTTTTTTTTTTTATTCTAGACAAGCTTGGGGGGGAAAATAAACCAAGAAATTTCTAAAAGCCTTTCAAAATAAAACCAATTTCCTGTTTGGCTTCTTTTTCAGATGCTCCCCTCGAGCTGCCCTCCTTCCACCTAACCCCGTCCCAACGTCAGGTCGTCTTTCAGGGAGACAGCCTCCCCTTCCAGTGTCAGGCTTCCCTTGTTTCCGAAGACATGCAGGTACTCTGGTACCAGAATGGCCGAATGGTTAAACCAGATGCCACTCAGGGCATTTTCATAGAGAAGCGCATCGTGCAGAACTGCTCACTCATTTCCAGGTAACACTCACTTCTACATTTGCCCGAGTTAAAATTAATATCTGGAATCTAATCTTTTATTTCCAATTTTCCCATCAGTGCCTTAACCATCTCTAACATCCAGCCCGGGTTTATGGGGAATTGGGAATGTCGGGTACGGACGAGCCGAGGAAATACGACCAGGACCGTGCACATTGTGGTTCTGCAAAGTTCTGCTAAGTACTGCGCTCCTGAACGGGTTTCCAACAACAGGGGGGAGTTCAGGTACATGTAGAAAAAGACTCAGAACAAGCCACTGACCAACTTGATTCTGATAATGTTATATTTGATTCCAACACCTTTTAGGAATTCTTTGCACTTGTTTGCTTTAATTAGTAGCAGCAGATACTGAAATGTTAACTATATAAATCATCTACAACAGAACCAAGTTAAATAAGATGCATCATTTAATTATCCTCTTATAGGCTAATAAAGTTACCGTATTTTCACGACTATAAGGCGCACTTAAACGTCTTTTTTTTCCCTCAAAATGTGCGGTGCGCCCTATGGTGCGGTGCGCCTTATGTGTGTTGTAACTGCGACTTTTGAGACCACCTCATTGAGGAGATGATGAAAGAGTGGCTGAATGGAAGGAGACCAGGTGTTTTTTTTCCACCCCTCACCATCGCTGTTAATATGTAACTCCATGCGTGCCCATCTCACAGCTGATGTGAAAAACATGGGGAAACAAATTAACGCTGCTCGACATCGGTGTGAACCGGACCCAGCAGGTGCAGCAGAAGCAGCGAGTTTACATGCAAAGTCAATGGTTGACGCGCATATAGGTGCAGCAAAAGGTCCCGCAGCGCATTTTGGTGCAGCACGTCGGGAGCGTTTAAGCATCTGAAGCGCCGCGCTTCTGCTGCTCAAGATGGAAAAATTGAAGTTTTGCTGCTGGACGCGCCGCATCAACCAATCAGAGAAGCTGATCTGGGAGCTGCCAGAGAGACAGACAGCGCTCTGATGACATATGATATTAACGCAAATGGAAAAGGCTGGATGGATGCGTGGCTGAGGCAGGTGTATGTGAGAAGACTAGGTGGTTTTTTCCACGCATCACCATCGCTGCGTGCCCATCTCACAGCCGATGTGAAAAAAAGGTGAATCAAATGAACGCTGTGCTCGCCGTTATCCCGGGGGTCTGACAAAGGAACTTCAACCGCTCGACATCGGTGTGAAGCGGCCGTTCAAAGTAAGGCTGCGAGCGGCGTGGGAGCGATGGATGACAGACTGAGACCACAGTTTCAGGATAAGAAGGCAGCGCCGGGCAGATTACGCCACAGTTTGCGGATGGATTGTAGATGCTTGGACTAAAGTGTCTGCTGGCTCTGTTGTTCAAGCTTTCGCAAAAGCCGGCATTATTTCTGAGGAGCCGCGCTGCACGGAAAGTGACTGACAGCGAAGAATGGGAAACTGGCATGTCTGATTTAGCGCAGCTGTTTTATTCAGAAACAGAGGATGATGACTTTGATGGGTTTGATTAATACTTTGTAATAAATACATGAATAAAGCACAATCATACTCAGTTTTGCTCCCGCTGTATTTTTCTCCCTGAAAACTTAAAGGAATAGTACACCCAAAACATGATTAGCCTTCATTTTCTACTCACCTCCATGCTGAACAACACTCTGGAGTACTTTTTTGATATCTCAAATGCATCTGGAGATCTGGGAGACTTCTTGCTGTCTGCTGACATTCAAATAATGGAGGTCTATGGCGCCCGAGACAGAAAGGTCCACAAAAGTCCACAAAAACTTGTCAATATTCCTCCATACTGCTCGTCCAATGTAATCCAAGTGTCCTGAGTGGGTAGCATCCAGAATTTACTCGAAACGAAGTCATTTAGAACGTTTTAGAGCCTAAACAGTAGTGTATAGGATTTCCTAATAGCGCCCCCATGCGCGCTCACGATTCTACGGAAGCCGGCAGACCAAACCAGCGCATTCAGCTCGGCAAAGAACTCATGCTCTTCCTCAACACTGAAGTCCTCAGACATTTTTCTTTCGTTGTTTCTTTCTTTGCACAGGTAAACAGCACATTTCTTCTTCTACGCTTGCATTATCGGCAGACCAGACGCTGAATGCGCACTTCCTTCCGGTTTGGTCTGCCGGCTTCCGTAGAATCGTGAGCGCGCATGGGGGCGCTATTAGGAAATCCTATACACTACTGTTTATGCTCTAAAAACATTCTAAATGACTTCGTTTCGAGTAAATTCTGGATGCTACCCACTCAGGACACTTGGATTACATTGGACGAGCAGTATGGAGGAATATTGACACGTTTTTGTGGACTTTTATGGACCTTTCTGTCTCGGGCGCCATGGACCTCCATTATTTGAATGTCAGCAGACAGCAAGAAGCCTCCCAGATCTCCAGATGCATTTGAGATATCAAAAAAGTACTCCAGAGTGTTGTTCAGCATGGAGGTGAGTAGAAAATGAAGGCTAATCATGTTTTGGGTGTACTATTCCTTTAATTCAACAGCAGCCTCTGGGCCGCGTCTCCTCCTCTTCATCGCGGTGGCTTGCAGGTGTTTTTCATCTAAATAATCTAAATCTTGCAGCTATATTTGCTGTGATCAGTGGGAATAAAGTAGTTTTAATATGTTTTTAAGTGAGAAAGGCCACCTGAAAACTTAATAATTGCAGTCAGTTCATCCAGATTATCTATTTCTGTCGGAGGCGCTCAGACCCCCACATACCAGCGGTGCGCTGACAGCAGAAATCTCTTCATCAGCAGCCTGTAGGCTGGGCAGCCTGGGGTTCACCGCGGCTGCTGGCAGGTGTTTTTCATCTAAATAATTTTAGCTGCAGGCACCAGGATTCCGGCAATAAAAGCGAACATATTCCGTCAGCAGGTTTCAGGATTTTAAGTTAATTTAGGAGTGACCACAGCGCTGTGTCATCTGCGATGTCTCTGTCTCACGGCCAGCTGCCAGGTTTGATTAATACTTTGTAATAAATACATGAATAAAGCACAGTCATACTCAGTTTTGCCCCCGCTGTATTTTTAAATACGCAGTAGAGCTATTTAAAGGTAGTAGAGGACATGTACCTGTATATAAAAAACGCGCCCTATAGTCCGGTGCGCCTTATGTGTGTGTTAAATACAGAAATGGGACACATAACTGAGAGTGCGCCTTTTAGTCCGGTGCGCCTTATGGTCGTGAAAATACGGTATGTTGGAATCTTTGCATGCTTAAAAAAGCACTTATTGGACTAAAAGGTACTTTGAACAATAAGCAAGTCTTAGCAGCTCAATAACGATTGATGACAAAATATTTTAGATTCACACAGTTTGCAAAAATCTCTGAACCACTTCTCAACTACTTCTATTCATCACTTAAAAATGTCACCACTTAACCTCCCTATGATAGATCTACGGAGAATTAAGGTGTGACATAAAGTTAAGAATATCTAAAGTTCATATAGTCCTTAAAATCTGTAAAAGCCTATAAATTGTTTTCCTTTTTATTGGTCTGCATAAGATTGAAAAAAAAAAAAAAAACATTCATAAAAACCTAATTGTTGTAAAACCTTATTGATGAGTAACAGCTCAAAGATAAATCTCACATTCACAAACCTCCTTCGTTTTTGGTTTCTGCCTAAAGGGTTGAATTGTATCTGTGGTTCCTGACCTGTTGATCATAGTTTCTGGATCCTGAATAGGTTCACACTGAGCCGCTCCAGTAACCGGACTCTGACACCGCTAGTAGGGCTGGACCATATGAACTTAAAACCGTATTATGATAAAAGTGATGACTAAACTAACCCCATTATTTCTATACTGCTGTTTCTGCCGACCACAGCAGTCAGCCCCACAATCATAATGTAATACTAGAATATAAACCTTTAAATTCAGGCTCTTCAGAACAACAGTTACATAACAAGTATCAATTATATCACTAAATATCTCCTAGTAACCACATTTTATCATATACTTTAAAAATTTCAATGCACCATTGGGGGAAAAAAAAAAAGAAAAGTGAAGAACAAAAATAGTTTAAAAAAATCTGACAATTCATTCTGTTTCTGTAACTTTAAATAATCGATTCTAATTTATGGTTTAGACTTTGAATTAAATTCTTATCATTAATGGAAACTTATGACAATGAACGATGAAAACACAGCCAGTTGTTCTCGTTTTGATCTCTGTAAGCTATCCTTAAAGATTTTTAAAGCATAAAGCAAACTAACATTTAGATTCCAATTTGACCCTATTTTAGATTTTCAGCAAAGACCAATGATTTTTAGATGGTCGATACTATAGCTGTCAAAGATCTAGCAGGAACAGAAGCCTGTGGATTGATTCAGACGGCTTGTGGTCAAAGTAAATCTTACTTTATTCTGTGTATTAGAGGAAATCCTTTTGAAGTTTGGTCATGCAGCCTTTTCTTTTTAAAAATGGTTATCATTGTATGTTGTAAATAAGTTCCTTCTTTAAAAGAAACAGTTAAGATAATTCATTCAAAGTCAGGAGCTCTGGCATTTTTTGAAGGAGGTTATTCAAGATTCACAGTACATTTCAGTGCATTTATATCACAGCATTAACATTTTGTTAGATCAGCTCTTTGTTAGTTTGTCAGCAGCACAACCTGGTGGCTGAACCTATAAGTGCAGCTGTATAGTTCACCTCAGAATGATGGTTGGAAAAGATGGTTCACAGACCAGTGAAATTCTGAATTCCTGCAGGTGGCCCCGCACTCTGGCAGGAATAAAAGCCTACCTGTCGTGTAGCTCATCGCTGTCTAGTGCACGTGCCAACACAGGCATCCTGGGGGAGGAGCGGCAGGCGTGGCGTTACTGCAGTCCAGAGGGGCTGTGGGGGGAGGAGGACTACTCCCATTGTCAGTTTCAGAAAGAGGTCACAAGGTATCTCTACCTCTTCAATCAGGTTGGTATTTTACTGCTTTTTTTTTTATTTCTCTCCTCTTTTTCTATAAATATTAGATTCAATCTCTTTGTGTCTTTCTGGCAGATGCCTCTGAACGAGAGCAACGTTGTGCACAAAGCTCAAAGCCTTTTGGTTTACACCATCGATGCTGCCAACTTGTCAGACAAGATGGACATTATCTTCATTGCTGATATGATTGAGAAGTTCACCGAGTTTGTGGAGAAGTTTAAGGTTGTAAGTTGCCAAAGAAGAAATTATTTTTTTTTTTTTTAAGCAGCTGGCGTTATAAACCGTGATAAGCGTCTTCATTTTTAATGGGTTTGACCGTTATTACTTTTTAACTTTTTTTTTTGTCTTAATTTTTCTGTCTCGCATTATTTTTTATGTCTGGAAGTTTAATACATTTGACATAAAAAAAATCTTAAACTTATCTTATAAAATTGTTTTAAACAATAGGCTTTTTCTATTGATTTAAGTTCTCTCAAAAATATAGATGGATATAGCTGTATGCTAAGGGTTTGTTTTCCTGGAAGGTCAACCCCTACCTTCTTTTTTAATTGGGATAAAATTCCAGTTTGTTTGTATTTTGGATAAAAGTGTGACTATATTCCTTTATTTTGACCACTCTCCCGTTGCCCAGCTTGGTGAGGTAATGGTCAGCATGGCCAGTAACCTGATGTTGGCTGATGAGAGAGTGCTGTTGATGGCCCAGCGTGAAGCCTTGGCGTGCACCCGCATCCTCGCCTGCCTGCAGAGAATAGCCGTCAGTCGCCTGGCCACGGCACAACCCTTCTCCCTGGTGAGTCTCATTAACAAGAATTTAGGAGATTTCTGATGACGGAATCAAATATTACATTTTTCTACCTTGTCTTGTTAGACGTCCCCAAACATCGCGCTCGAGGCCCAAATAATCAGAGTCAGCGACTGGAACGGCATGACCTGCATGCTTTTCCAGAGCCGCCAGCTCACGTTAAAATGTAACACCACCGGCGCCTTCTCCACGGTTTTCTACAAGGTCAGCTTCCAACAACAAGACCCATAGTTTTTAGTTGATATAGATGATCAGAACAGGGTTTGTTTCATTAAACATCTCTGTTTGCAAACAGAGCACCGTGGTGGAGGCTTCGCTGCAGCTTCCACAATCTCTCTTTAACCAGGCTGGGCAGACAGACGATAACGTCTACAAGCTCTACCTGCTGGGCTTCCGCAATGGCAAGTTTTTCCCGTCGACTGGGAATACCTCTCTTCTGACTGATGGAGGGAGGAGGAGGAGTGTGGTCACCCCCGTTATCATGGCAAAGATAGGCATGTCCTGCATACAGTTTAAGAAACCTTTCAAATCATATATATATGTGATAAAATGTCCAACATTTGACACATGTTTGCCATCAGAGGGTATCTCTCCGCGTTCCCTGAGGACCCCCATCAACATCACCCTGCGGAGGTTGGCTCGTGGCTCTCACGCCATCGCTGCCCGATGGAATTCCAGCCTGGCAGGAGGTCAGGGAGGCTGGAGAAGTGAGGGCTGCCGCATCCTGGAGAATCAGGACAACTTCACCACCATGTCCTGCAACTCTCTGGGCAACTATGGTCTGCTCATGGTACGGCAGCTCACCAGATACCGCTTTAAATGTACTTGTTTAGATGTAGAGGAGTCAATCATATATTTTTATTATCCAGCGATTGCACCATCTAGTGGTCATTAGACATTGCTGCAGGACTAGTCAGAGTTAGGACAAGTTAGAAACTGAAATAGAGATTTCTCTTTTTTTCTCTCTTCCAGGACCTCAACAGTGTTGAGCAGCATTCTCCAAGCATCCAGCCTCTACATCCAGTCATCTATGCTACAAGTATCATCCTCCTGCTCTGCTTGTTTGCAATTATTATCAGTTATATATATCTATACAGGTAAACACCACTGTGAGGTTTACTTTTTATGTACCAAGCTACACAGTTCATAGAACTTTATGGTTCCTACTTTTAAAAGTTTTAACTGGAATATTTAAGCAAAGCCGTCCCTTTTTTTTCCAATTGTTGTTCTTCTGTTGGCGGCAGGACTGTTCGAGTGAGTCGGAAGTTTTGGCACATGCTGGTCAATCTCTGCTTCCATATCTCCCTTACTTGTGGGGTTTTTGTAGGCGGTGTCAATCAGACACGATACGCCAGTGTCTGCCAGGCAGTGAGTATAAAACGCTCTTCCCTTTATATTTCCGACTTCAACTCTGGGGTGTTTCTCCTTCAAGCTTTTATGGTCCACTGTCTTAAAAGAAAATGTGCATTAGATGTTTTCTGGAATATGTAGGCTTAAATTAAAAGGTTAGATTTCTTCAAAATTAGTAATTGTGGAATTATCCTGTTTTAATAATATCATAATTATGAGCAACTGAGAACATTTATTATTAATTTGACCATTTATGTTTAAGATTCTTTGAACTTCTTTTGCTAAAATTCCATAGATGACATTGCTATGCAATCTCCTTTAGGTGGGCATTTTGTTGCACTATTCGACTCTTTCTACTGCCCTGTGGGTGGGCGTGACTGCACGCAATATATACAAGCAAATTACACGCAAAGCCAAACGCTACGAGGAGTTGGATGAGCCGCCGCCGCCCCCAAGGCCGATGCTCAGGTTTGAATTTCTAACTTTATTTTGTTAGTGACATTTAATTATGACACTGGCTTGAAACGTGCTGAGTTTAACTGTTTTCCATGTCTTGATAATTATGTAAGTAGGATGTATTTCCCTTTCCCGTAACTGTCAGTAATCTCCATCTTCTTAAAGCCCAATCATCACATATAAATAGAATAGTCAATATTTTCTTCATAAATTAAATATTGTTGATTAAAAAATAATGAAAATGTGTAGCTAAAATAAATTTTACACTTAAACCGTGCAAGTTAAAGGATTGCTAATAAAACCAGGGGTTGTCAATGCATGCATGATTTATAGTTTATCCTTTTGTGTGAGAAAACAAATGCTGAATTGTTTTTTGCTTTTTTTTAAAGGTTCTACCTAATCGGTGGAGGGATACCCATCATTGTGTGTGGAATAACTGCTGCAGCCAACATTAAAAACTACGGCAGCCAAACAAATGCACCATAGTGAGTAGGACCTCATGTACATGCTGCCGTTATATCTGGAAGTGCTTCAATCCACAAGTTCTCAAAGGGAGATTTATTTTTCTTAATAGAACAATAAAGACTTTCATTTTTTTTTAGAATAATGCAGATTTCTATGAGGGAAGGTGAATGTTTTTCCCTGAAGGTGTGATTATGGAGTGTTGATATTTATATGTTCTTCCAGACAACCAGCTGCTGTTCCCTGTAGCAGCGTCTGTTCATATCAGTCACCATGGCTGGATAATTATGAGATCTGTTTATGTTTATCTTCTGACATGCATACTTTTATTTTAATCATTTAGAAAAGCACACAAATGTGTTTTCTGAGGCATTATCTAAATTGATTCCTTTTAAAGCTAAAGTTTGAGATTTTTCTTTGGCTACATTTCCAGGCTTTATTGTGCTTTATTAGAATTTATTAGAATAGAAACTAACTAAAGTCTTTTCTTCATCTGTTAGTTGCTGGATGGCCTGGGAGCCGAGTATCGGGGCCTTCTACGGACCAGCGGGATTTATCATCTTCGTGGACTGCATGTACTTCCTCAGCATCCTGCTGCAGCTGCGCCGACACCCTGAGCGACGCTACGAGCTGAAGGAGTCGAGTGAAGAGCAGCAACATTTGGCTTCAGTCAGCAGCGATGCAGGACCAGAGGGTCCCAGAAGCCACTCCCAGCCCCTCACCGCGCAGCATCAGCAGAACGAGGCATCATCCTCTGTAGGTTCGGCCCCGCTGCCGCTCTCTGCTCTGGAGAACGAACACACCTTCACCGCCCAGCTGGTCGGGGCAGTGGGAGCTTTAGGGCTCTATTCAGCTCTCTGGGTGTTCGGCGCTATGGCTGTTTCACAGGACCACCCTTACGACATGGCTTTCACCTGCCTCTTCGGCCTGACGGCTCTGGCACTGGGGGCGTTCATGGTGGTGCATCACTGTGTCAACAGACAAGACATGAGAAGATTTTGGTCGCAGGAGTTTTGCTCCAGAAGGCGACCTTACTCTGCGCAGGAGGAGGTCCTTCTCCCTCAAACAGGCATCGCTGTGATGTCAACTGTAACGTCTGATACTAAAGTCGACAGGGATTCCACAAAATGTGGTCATAGCAGTACGGATTCCTCGCACACTAACAGGAGCGCACCAAGTGTGCGCAACTCAGGGCATGGCAGCAAGCTGACAAACCTGCATGCAGAGGCTGCTCAATGCAAAGCTGCCTCTGCACCGCCGGCGGCTAACGGCACAGCCGTTCTAGACAACAGTCTGACCGAGCATTCACTGGACAACGAAATAAAAATGCACGTGGCGCCGGTGGAGGTGCAGTTCCGCCCGATCAGCAACATTCACACCCCAGCAGCTAACGGAAGCATAAGCAGGCATCAGAAGAACAGAGCCCGAGCACACAGGGCGAGTCGGCTGACCGTGCTGCGAGAGTACGCCCACGATGTGCCCACAAGTGTAGAGGGCAGTGTGCAGAGCGCCCCCAACAGGCGGCACCATTACTATGACATGGCCGCACGCAACAGTCGACGTGCCGCCTACATGGCCTACAGGGAGCGCCACCAGAGCCAGCTGCAGCAGGACAGCAGCGACAGCGCTAGCCTGCCGCGGCGCTCCCGCTTGTCAGAGAAAAGAACTGGCGCTGTTCTCGGAAATGGGACGGCAGTGACCGTAGAAGCAGAGCAGGCGGTTCTAACCGGATTGCCAGCTGTCAGTAAAGACACCGTACAAATGCCAGGCAGTTCGGAACCCGAAAGCCAGAACAGTAAGTCGTACGGACTTAACCTGGTCACTCAAAGCGGCGGCACGCTGAAGAAAAAGGGACAAGCAGTGCCTTTAAGGAACGGTGATGGCGTCTGTATAAAAACAGGCCTGTGGAAACATGAAACTACTGTGTAGCACACGTTTCCCTCCTGAGGTCTGCTTTAATAAAACCCTCATACCTTTTAAACTGTGAAATATCTTTAATGTTGACTGTTTTTCAGAGAAAACATTGGAAATAAGCAGAACTGCTGCCACTTAGCTGTCCTTGTAGATATCCTTTTGTAAATGTTCTATTTTTATAATTTTCTAATCCAACACTGTTGATTTCTGAGTTCTGAGTGAGAATGCATATCTTCACTGTTTATTGGAACCAGAATTAGTAATAAAACAAAGTTTCATTTATCTATTTAGAAGACTACATTATTGCAATACCCCAAACATTCGTATTTAGCTTTTTTGGGAAGAGACTCGGAGCTGTCGCCTTCTTATCAGGACATGACAAGCTGGTAATTGGGTTCCTCGCTAACCTTCAGGTGGCCCCAGGTTTCTCTCTTTGCTGCCATGCAGCAGTTTAATTGCAACCAGCAGCGAGGTTGGCCAACCGTAGGCGCTTTCTTCCTGCCTTGTGACAGCATGGTGTGCGTTCTAAGCTCCAGCTGACTTCATTTCCCCACAGGTTGTGATTGACAGCTGACTCTTAGGGGCGAGTAGAGGCTGCAGAAAAAAGGAGAGGATAATGAGAGACGAGTCCTCTTCCTTCTCCTGGAGCTTCTTCAGTGCATTTCACGGCAGGGCTGTTGAACCTGGGTCCAACTCGCCCGGCTTGACATTGCCAACAGCTTGAATGAGACACAGCAGAGGACTGGAAATTGATTAGCATCACTTCTTGCTGTAGAAGAACCATGTTCTTCCATTGGGTTTCTATTTGACCACAGGCACGAATCGCAATGGTTATTGACTTTTCATAATTAAGTTTGGCTCTTCTTCAGGATGGAAGGATTAAAACGTACAGCATCATGTGAACTAAGCTGGTTTCCTTTTCTCCAACTAGCTGACTTCATTTTTAGTTGTTTTTGTAAGATCAGTGCTTGAACCCTAATATTTACCTCCTTTAACCCTTTCAGCATCTATTACGGTGTGTAGTCAGGATTATATAAATCCTAAAGGTGGGGGGATTTATTTTTTAAGCAAGATAAGTAATCCGAGTAATTTCTGTCATTGTCAGAGGGAACAAAATAAAAGCAAACGGTTTGCAGCCTCATAATGGTCTACAAAATTCTAAATGGGATCATAAACATTACATTAAAATAACCAAACATTCCTAACCCTTAGTTTCATTCTATTTGGTAAGATTTAAAAATACAATTATATAACAAAAAACAAAGGCTTATTTCTTCACAATTTTTGCTAAAGTTGTTTAATGTATGGAGGTCCTCAATAATCACTTTGGGTTCTGGGATTCCAAACCTCTTACTATACAAGGCGCAATGAGGATAATTATAAACTGTTTTACTGGCCTTCAGATGCACAGCTGCCTGGTTGAAACTTGGAGAGAACTGACTGTTCCAACATGATTATGATCCAAAATACATTAAACTTTAGAATCAATAAAGAAGGCTAGACATAAAGACCATGTTAAGTGTAATTAAATGAGTGTTCTCAGTTTATCACATGACAGAATTATGTTTTATTAATCACTCATCTGGATATTAATAACAAAAACTAACAATATAAAATGAGGCCTTTAAAGTAATAAAAAATATCAGGGGATTGGATCAGAGGAAGCTTCAAACATGTGACGTTCAATGAGGAAACAGGAGAGTTCTCTGACTGCTGATAAAGGCTGCAGATGCTGCATTGGAGTCCCTATGTTTCAGAGAAGGGAAGGGGTCGTTAACTGTTCATTAAAGACTGTAAACCCAATGCGATTGGTGCTGTGTTGTCACCAAAGTCTCCAACAAGACAGGAAAAAGCAGAAAGATTTGTGGCTAGTTGCCTTTTTGAAAGAAAAGTTGCTGGAGGGGTCTGATAAAGCGCTAAACATAGATACTGAGGTGGGAAGAATACAGAAGCAGCATCATTGTTCAATTTTATACTGCATGGCCAGCAGGGAGCAGGCCTATGCTGAAGGCAGCTCCATGAGGACATGAGGCTGCACTTCTGACAGGAACCTGACAGGAATATTGAAACCCAAATTTACTTTTACCGTCACAATGCAATCATAAAAGATTGAAGACTCTATAAATGTGTAGAACAATACTTCTAGGACTATACAGGTGCTGGTCATAAAATTAGAATATCATGAAAAAGTAGATTGATTTCAGTAATTCCATTTAAAAAGTGAAACTTGTATATTATATTCATACATTACATACAAACTCATATATTTCAGATGTTTATTTTGTTTAATTTTGATGATTACAAATGACAACAAATGAAAATCTCAAATTCATCATATCAGAAAATTAGAATATTACTGAAGACCAATAAAAACTAAGGATTTATAGAAATGTTGGCCAACTGAAAAGTATGAACATGAAAAGTATGAGCATGTACAGCACTCAGTATTTAGTTGGGCCTCCTTTGGCCTGTATTACTGCAGCAATGCGGCGTGGCATGGAGTCGATCAGTCTGTGGCACTGCTCAGGTGTTATGATAGCCCAGGTTGCTCTAATAGTGGCTTTTAGCTCTTCTGAATTGTTGGGTCTGGTGTATTGCATCTTCTTCTTCACAATACCCCATAGATTTTCTATGGGGTTAAGGTCAGGAGAGTTTGCTGGCCAATTAAGAACAGGGATACCATGGTCCTTCAACCAGGTACTGGTAGCTTTGGCACTGTGTGCAGGTGCCAAGTCCTGTTGGAAAATGAAATCTGCATCTCCAAAAAGTTGGTCAGCTGCAGGAAGCATGAAGTGCTCTAAAACTTCCTGGTATGTGGCTGCGTTGACCCTGGACCTCAGAAAACACAATGGACCAACACCAGCAGATGACATGGCACCCCAAACCATCACTGACTGTGGAAACTTTACACTGGACTTCAAGCAACGTGGATGAAGTGCCTCTCTTCTTTTCCTCCAGACTCTGGGACCTTGATTTCCAAAGGAAATGCAAAATTTACTTTCATCAGAGAACATGACTTTGGACCACTCACCAGCAGTCCAGTCCTGTTTCTCTTTAGCCCAGGCAAGACGCTTCTGACGCTGTCTGTGGTTCAAGAGTGGCTTGACACAAGGAATGCGACAGCAGAAACCCATGTCTTTCATACGTCTGTGTGTGGTGGTTCTTGAAGCACTCACTCCAGCTGCAGTCCACTCTTTGTGAATCTCCCCCACATTTTTGAAGGGGTTTTGTTTCACAATCCTCTCCAGGGTGCGGTTATCTCTCTTGCTTGTACACTTTTTTCGACCACATCTTTTCCTTCCCTTCGCCTCTCTATTAATGTGCTTGGACACTGAGCTCTGTGAACAGCCAGCCTCTTTAGCGATGACCTTTTGTGTCTTGCCCTCCTTGTGCAAGGTGTCGATGGTCGTCTTTTGGACAACTGTCAAGTCAGCAGTCTTCCCCATGATTGTGTAGCCTATAGAACTAGACTGAAAGACCATTTAAAGGCTTTTGCAGGTGGTTTGAGTTAATTAGCTGATTAGAGTGTGGCACCAGGGGCCATCAATTTTGAACCTTTTCACAATATTCTAATTTTCTGATATGATGAATTTGAGATTTTCATTTGTTGTCATTTGTAATCATCAAAATTAAACAAAATAAACATCTGAAATATATGAGTTTGTATGTAATGTATGAATATAATATACAAGTTTCACTTTTTAAATGGAATTACTGAAATCAATCTACTTTTTCATGATATTCTAATTTTATGACCAGCACCTGTATGTTTAAAAGAAAATTGGGGAATTGTCTTTGCACAGTCTTTAAAGTTTGCCAATGGATCTCCATACCTACAAACATAGGTGTTAGTTCTGAACAGAGTCTGACAGAACATCTTTCAATTTAGCTGAGCTATCGTATATCCATAGACACATTTCCAGCTAGAAGTCTAACAGAACCTTTTGACTAGTTGTGCATTGAATTCAATCTCATGCCCTGGATCTGTGTTTTCAAAATACCTTTTTATTTTTCATACCATCATTTCACTTTGGAAAAAGAATAAACATTACATACATTTTTAAACCTCTTAAGTTTATATAAGTATATAGGATAAATACCTATAGGGAGCCCTCACTCTGTGGTAAGGGGCCAATGTGGCTCTTTTATTACAGAAGTAATCACACAGTCATTGCAAAATCCTTTAAAGGCTCTTCAATGCTTTTTTTTTTTTGCTGTTGTTGTAATAAGGCAAAGAGACTGGTTTACCCCCAAATGATGAATTAAAATGATTTGGCATGCCCCAGCAGTGTACTGCATTAGTTTTTGTCAGTAGAAAATGCGTCATCAGGTGGATAATAACTGAAAGCTCATGGAGATAAGTCTATGTATGCCTCGCAGATTCCATGATGGGCCCTTTCTTTTATCAATGCCAGCCTTTACAGGACAGCTGTAACATAGTCGCTTTATGAACCACCCAGTATTTTTCCATATTATTTTTCCATAATGAAACTCAGCAGAGACATAGCCAGAAATTTTTTATAAGGGCGGCCAGGCAATAACCAATGTACATTGAGGGGGGGCCGAAAGTAGATAGGCACCAAAACCTCACGGTCAATCTGCACTGTTCCAACAGGAAAATTAACAAGAAAAACATCCATATTTTCAACAAAAAAAAAAGACAAACTATACTTTCCTACAGCCTTTGCTAACAAATAGACGCATATATTTAAACATCTGTGCTTTCTAGATAAAAGGTATAATGGATAAAATTCTTTCAGGTTCGAGTTTTGGGCAAACATCTTTTCCATCGTGATTACTTACCTACTTTTATCAGTAATCATTCTGCATAAAATTGACATTAGCAAGTACTAATATCTACATGAAATGATTATTTAATGTTTTATTAAAATAGTTATTTATCTATGATTTCACTCAAGACCCATCATTTTCTCTTTACCCCATAAAACACAGAATCTAGTTTTGAAAAGAGCAGGAATTCTGTACTTATCTTTAATGTTTGTATATGGTTGTGCATAATATACCACAGTGTGTTTGTCGTCAAGTAATTGTTAATATATGAAAACTTTAAATATTTTGTATATTCCACTTGAGAGTATTAGTGTTGCCACCATCTGTATTGGAAGGTAATGAATGGTAGGCAGTGGTGGTTCTAGACCAAATGTTCCAGGGGTTCAGAAGGGGGACAGAGTGTTTTTTTGGGGGCCCAGAAAAGCATGAAATAAAAAACAGGGCAAGGGATTCAAGTATATTAATATAGCTGCTTGAAGTGAAATCTCTATTCAA